AATAACAACAAAACATTTCTGAGAGAAATTAAAGAAGATCTAAATGAATGGAGAGATGTATACATGTTCGTAGACCAAAAATTCAATATTGCTAAGAAAATAATCATCTCTAAATTAATTTATACAGTAAATAAAATCTCTCAATTCCAGTAAGCTTTTTTCATAGAAATTGACATGCTGACCCTAAAAATAGCCAGTTCCAAAAATGAACAAATAAAAATGTGCTTCAACTACCCAATTTCAAACTTACTATCAAGACTATTAATCAAGACAGTGGGATAAGGGCATAAAAATGGACATATAGATCAATGAAAGAGAAAAGTGTCGGGGCTGGGATTGTGGCTCAGCGAGCGTGCCTAGCACCGATGGGGCCTGGGTTCGATCCTCAGCACCACATAAAAAGTAAAGGTATTGTGTTGTGTCCAACTACACCTAAAAAAAATGTATTAAAAAATACTTACATTTAAAAAAAAAGAAAGAGAAAAGTCCATAATTAAACTTGTACATTTATGGCCAAGTGGTTTTCAGCAAAGGTAGCAAGGCAATTCACTAAGGAAAGGATGATTTTTTTCAACAAAAGATGCTGGAACAATCAGACAGCCAAATTCTAGGAAAAATTAAAAAGAACTTAAAAATTGATATCACATCATACACAAATTAACTCAAAATGCGTTATAGACTTAAATATAAAACCTGAGTTCAATTCCCAGTACCAAAAAGATAAAACTTTGTGAAACTAAGTTAAACACAGATATCTTAGATGTACACTAAAATCATGATCCATAAAAATAAATATATCAGACTTAATTAAATCTCATAACTTTCTCTTTTTTTTTTTTTTTCTGGTACCAGGGATTGAACTCAAAAACGCTCAACCACTAAGCAACATCCTCAGCCCTGTTTTGTATTTTATTTAGAAACAGGGTCTCAATGAGTTGCTTAGTGCCTCACTTTTGCTGAGACTGGCTTTGAACTCTAGATCCTTCTGCCTCAGCCTCCCGAGGCACTGGGATTATGGGTGTGCGCCACCTCTCCTGGCATAATTTACTCTTTAAAAGATATAGTTAAGGACTGGGGATGTGGCTCAAGCGGTAGCGCGCTCGCCTGGCATGCGTGCAGCTCCCCCCCCCCCCCCCCCGTTCGATCCTCAGCACCACATACAAACAAAGATGTTGTGTCCGCCGAAAACTAAAAAATAAATAAATATTTAAAAAATTCTCTCTCTCTCTAAAAAAAAAAGATTGTTAAGAGAATAGGAAGACAAGTACAGACCAAAAAATACTTGCCAATCAGCTATCTGATAAAGGACTTGTATCAAAAATATAAAGAACTCTTACAACTCATAATAACACAACCCAAGTGCAAAAGATTTTAATAGATACTTCATTAAAGAAAAATAGATGGATGCCTAATAAGCACATGAAAAAATACTTGTACAGAAAATATTTAACACAGCAATCCAGAAACTGCTATGCTTGGAATACCTGCTTGGGGAGAGTTCTTTCTCTGCAGGAAATGCTCACTGCGCCTAGAATATTTGTTACAAATATCATGGTTCATGCTGAACATCTGCTTTCCTTCTAGGAATCTGGAATTTAGGTACATGATAGGCAGATTGTGCCTCTATGACTGTCCCCCATAAAACCCCTGGGAACAATTGAGATCAAGATTTCACATTTCATTTGTTCCATGAATTAAGCACACCTTGTGAGATTCCATTGGGAGGAATCTTGGAAGCTATCACCTGGTTTCTTCCAAACATTTCCCCATGTGCTTTTTCCCTTTGCTGATTTCACCATAAGTCCTTTCACTATTGTCAATTTTAGCTGTAAATATTTCTATATGCTGAGTTCTGTAAGTCCCCCTAGCAAGTCATAAACCTGAGGGTGGTCTTTAAGACCCCAACACAATGCATAACTCAATAATCACTAAAGATACATAAATTGTAACCAGAATGACAATAATTCAAACTTTTTGCCCAGAATATGAAAAAGTGGAGTCCTCATATATTGCTATTAGGGAGTGTAAAATGTAAATGTAAATAACAGCCATTTTAGAAAACATGTTGGCCGTTTCCTAAACAGTTAAACATATATTTACCAGATGACCCATCCATTCCACTCCTGGGTATTTATCCAAGTAAAATGAGTGTTATATCCACACACAAACTTGAATATGAATGTTACATAGTAGTATTATTCATAATAGCCTGAGAACTGAAACAATCCTACTTTCCATAATCTGGTGAATTGACAAAATGTGGTAGTGTACAGTTAAATAATGTTAATACTATTCAACAATAAAAAAGAATTAATACATGCTGCAGTATTTATGGACCTCAAAACTTCATGCTAAGGGAAAGAAGCCAAAATACAACCATTTGCATAAAATTTCTAGAAGAAGCAAATCTATATAGACAGAAAGCAGATTAGTCTTGGGATCAGAGCAGAGATTGAATGCAAATTAAGATAAGGGAATTTTGGAGGTGATGGAAATATCCTAAAACCTAATTGTGATGGTTGAACTCTATACTTATGTAAAATTATACTCAATAAAGCTTTTACTCTTTAAAAATTCCTTGGCCTGGGGATAAAGAAAGTGGTAGAACACTTGCCTAGCATGCATGAGACCCTGAGTTCCATCCCCCTACTGAAAAAAATCCTTGCATAAAGTCCCTTCCAATATCATAAATTATTAATTATATTATGAATATTTTAGTTCAAGATTTCTCTATGATTTTCAAATAAAGCAGTAGAGCAAACACATGCATTTATCCTTCTATATCCCACTCAAATAAGAGTAATGGGATAAGAGGGTAAATACAAAGATGGAATTTAGAAATAATAAAATCAAATTGTTTATTCCACGGGGTACTGGGAATTGAACTCAGGGGCACTTGACCACAGAGTCACATCCCCAGCCCTATTTTGTATTTTGTTTAGAGAAAGGTCTCACCGAGATGCTAAGTGCCTCCCTGTTTCTGAGCCTGGGTTTGAACTCGCAATCCTCCTACCTCAGCCTCCCAAACTGCTGGGATAAAATCAAATTTTTAGAAGCAGAAAAACACTAGGAAGAATAACTGACTTAGCTTACTCAACAAAGCTGAATCTTTAGCCATTAGTGGAAAAAGCCAAGTAGAAGAGTTTGACCACAGAATCCTCCTAAGGGTTCGAGAATTGACAGCATCAGTCAGGTAAAACTTGCACTATAAACAAGATAAATGATTGAAGATGTTTAAGAAGCAATTTGATTCCCTCTCCAGTTCCACATTTTGGAGGTCCAACACAATGAAAATTAGGGATTCACAATTACAACTGTCATTTTCAGGACACCAGATAATAAGAAAACTGAACAAGTTTTTAGAAAGAAAAAAAAAAGGGTCAAATACAAACAAGCAGCCATCAGACTTAGAAGCTAAAAGACATGGATTAAGGCCTCCAAGACAAGGGAGCAGATTATGTCCAATCGAATGTGAGGGTAAAAGCAAACATATTTTCAGACAGGAATGTCTTGAAATAGGTACTGCCCTCACATCCCATGACCCCACCTTGGTACTGGGGTTTGAATTTAGGAGTGCTCTACTATTTATCTACATCCTCAGCTCTTTTTGAGACAGGGTCTTGCTAAGTTGAAGAGGCTGGTCTCAAAACTTGCAATCCTCCTGCTTCAGCCTTCTAAGTGGCTGTGCTCAGCCTGCTCTCATACTTTTTATCAGGAAACTATTGGAAAACATGTTCCACCAAATAAGTTAATGAGCCAAAAGTGAGAAAGGCATGGGATCAGGGAAAAAAGGGCACCCAACTTAGAAAAGAAACCCCAGAATGACAGAGAACATTCAGAGTACCTATGCAGTAGATTCAAAAGTTCTGAAGAATTGTAACCCAGGAGGTGAAACTGAATTCGAATGTATTGAAAGATTTTTCATACACTATTTTTGCATTAACTGCAGGCTTTATTTACATTTAAAAAATCAAGGACAATTTCCAACTTTTTTCCCTGCACATATTAACTGAGTGACCTACATATAGTAGGCACCAAAAATATTTTTTGAATGACTGGAAGAATGGGATACCTACACTTGTATAGCATACAATCTGAAAAGGGTGTTATGGTAGGTATGAAGTATCCTAACTTAAGAGGCTCAATATTCTGATGGTACTGATTCATTCTCTGAATAATACCGAATGGCACTAATTCATTTATCTACATGAAGACCAAAAGTAGAACTTCATTTTTAGGAAGGCAATGTGGCCTATTGTTAGGCAACCAAACTCTGCAGCTGGACTATATGAATCCAAATTCCCTTTCATTTAAAATCTGTGTGATTTGGAGTTATTGGACTTCTCTAAGCTTTGACTTTCTAACTAAGAGTTACTTATTCACACGGTTATTGTGACCAGATTATTGTGAGGTTGGTGTTCCACACGACAGTCCCCTCGAGCTTTGGAATTCTGATTACAAAGTCTGAGATTACAGGAAAATCAAATGTGAGAAAGAAACTTGCCTGGAAGTGGGAAAAAACACTTAACTAGGAGTCAGGATGTCTCCCAGTAGATATGTACTACCATCTAGCTGTGTAGCACTGGGAAATCGTTTAATTTCTCGAAATCTCCTTCTCAACTTCACAGTTCCCATTCGCCCTGCCCAGGTGATCTGAGAAGTTAGGGCTTCACTCCACTTCAGCTGTCCGCTGCCAATGCCCACAGTACCTCTCGCTTTAAGGCGAGGTGACTGTGAGTGGAGGAGTTTCAGCCACCAGGGGGGCAGCATCCTTTCCACCGATCACAAACGTACTTCTTGCAACCCTAAACCCAGCTTAAATAGAACAAAACAGTAGCCTTGGTTTTTTCCCTTCCATTTTATATCTCCCGTCGCCCATGCTTGGTTTCATTTTACTGATGAGTTCCACCGGAGATTCCGCAAAGCGTAGGGTTCGCGCGATACCGACGCCGGAAGTGGGTGGTAGCAGGAGCGCGGAACGCTCGCGATATCTCCGCGGGAAGTGGGTGGTGGCAGGGACGCAACGTCTCCTCTCTCTGGAAGACGAGCAATTCTCTCTAGCGATTGCAGCGGTCCGCCCCAGGCGCTCTCCTCTAAGGAAGAGATACCCTACTGCAGCTTTTCCAGCCCCGAGCTCGCGCTCTCGGCTTCTCCGACTGCACATCTATACATCGGTGCGAGCGGTAGCGCAGCCTGCGGAGCTCCCTCCCCAACCCTTCCTCGGTGCTGCAGTTAGGCCGCGCCCTCAGGCCCAGTCCGCGGCGGCTCCGGCGGGTGATGCCAAATACAGCCATGAAGAAAAAGGTGCTGTTGATGGGGAAAAGCGGGTCGGGGAAGACCAGCATGAGGTCCATTATCTTTGCAAATTATATCGCTCGCGATACCAGGCGCCTGGGTGCCACCATTGATGTGGAGCACTCTCACGTCCGATTCCTGGGGAATCTGGTGCTGAACCTGTGGGACTGTGGCGGTCAGGACACCTTTATGGAAAATTACTTCACCAGCCAGCGAGATAACATCTTTCGTAATGTCGAGGTTTTGATTTACGTGTTTGATGTAGAGAGCCGCGAACTGGAAAAGGACATGCATTATTATCAGTCATGTCTGGAGGCCATCCTCCAGAACTCACCTGATGCCAAAATCTTCTGCCTGGTGCACAAAATGGATCTAGTTCAGGAGGATCAGCGTGACCTGATTTTTAAAGAGCGAGAGGAAGACCTGAGGCGTTTATCTCGCCCACTGGAGTGCGCTTGTTTTCGAACATCCATCTGGGATGAAACGCTCTACAAAGCCTGGTCCAGTATCGTCTATCAGCTTATTCCCAACGTTCAGCAGCTGGAAATGAACCTAAGGAATTTTGCCCAAATTATTGAGGCTGATGAAGTTCTGCTGTTCGAGAGAGCTACGTTCTTGGTGATTTCCCATTATCAGTGCAAAGAGCAGCGTGACGTCCACCGGTTTGAGAAGATCAGCAACATCATTAAGCAGTTCAAGCTAAGCTGCAGTAAATTGGCCGCGTCTTTCCAGAGCATGGAAGTTAGGAATTCTAACTTCGCTGCTTTCATCGACATCTTCACATCGAATACATATGTGATGGTGGTTATGTCGGATCCATCCATCCCCTCTGCAGCTACTCTGATCAACATTCGCAATGCCAGGAAACACTTTGAGAAGCTAGAGAGAGTGGATGGCCCCAAGCACAGTCTCCTCATGCGTTGAATATTGCCAAATGCTCTTTATGAAAATGCTGAATTACTTTTTTTTTTTGCATCCTTTGTTGTTAATATTCATAATGTCGTGTGCTTAAAAGTGGGCTTTGAAATGTGTGCTGCTTACTACTTCATCTCTTCCCTGTTCCCTAGTCTTGAAACATTGGACACTATTTACTCAGCTATCCAGTAGAGCTTCAAGATGGCCTTTATGAAAAGTTGGTACAGTGTAACACTAAAGTAGGTGGTTTGTGTATGTTCTGATACCTGGTTATAATAGATAAGCCCATCAAAGCCTTTACCAATATTCTCCTGTATTATCAGATTGCAAAGATGGAATGTTCCTATTTTATCAGCAAGGTATTAAAATGCATTTATAAATTCTTCTTGGCTTCAATCATGAATAAACATTAACTTAGCAATTTAAAACATGGTCTTATTTGAAATAATTTGAAAGTGTGTAGAAACTAAAGATTCTGATTGCCCTCAAGTATTGCTTAACTGGAAAACTTAATTTTGTGAGATTAACCCCTATTGTTTACTGAATATGGACTCTGGAGCTAAAACACTTGAATTAGAATTCAGGGCCTTTCACATACTAACTCTAAGAACTTAAGAGAGAGCCATAATTTCACTGTGCTTGTTTCTTCATTTATGAAATGTAGACAATACCACTTTTATAGGAAAGGATTGAATTAACAAAACATTCAGAATGATGCCTAACATACTCAGTATTATTGTGTTAGCTACCATTACTATCTACTAGGCTAATTCCTCCCAAAACACTCTGAAATCTAGCTGAATATTTGAGCCTAAATGCCAGGTATTAATATTTGATGGGCATTTATCTTAACCTCACAGTCTATGAGGTATTACTGTTATCCAATTTCTAGATAAATTCAAATGTGAATAGTTTTGATCAGCCAGTAAAACTATTCCTTGAAAGAAGTCACTTAAGCATGTAAATTGAGAATTATATGAAGTAATAATCACCTAAAAGCAAGGATGTTTAACTTCTGTCCAAATGGTGGGGTATAATGGTTGGGTGGGGGGCTGGGAGACCTTGATTAAGATCATAACAGCTTTCTCATCTACTAAAATTGAGATGATATTCAAAGATTCTTAGATTGCCTGCTTTCAAGGAAAAATAGAAGTTACTAATTTGAATAAGCAATATGTTCTACTGAAATCGAAAACAGACCTAAAATGTCCCACTACAGTTTAGTAATGGCTGTTTTGTAGATTATTTTATATTAAATCTTAAGTATTTTAGAGCCAAAAGACCACTGATAACTCCAAGCTGCCTTGTTTTACATGAGGCAATAGCTTCATAAAGAATAAATATAAGTGATAGGGCTTTAGAATTTTCAAGACTTTATAAAGTTAATTAACATGTATTAAACCCTGTAGTACCAGATGTGATGACAGGGTTCTTACCCATGAAGAGTAAAAAGTGAAGATCTAGGATATAAAAATCACCTAATTACAGCCATTGGCAATAACAAAGATCTCATGAGAAAACTTAAAATCATTTTAAAATACTGCTGGGATTATAGCCATGTGCCACCATGTGCCCAGCAGCTCAGGAGGCTGAGGCAGGAGGGTCAAAAATTTGGAGCCAGCCTCAGCAACTTAGACCCTAGCTCATAATTTTTAAAAAAATTAGAAGAGTTGGGAATGTGGCTCAGTGGTTAAGCACTCCTGGGTTCAATCCCTGGTACCCTCCTCCCCCCCCAAAAAAACTTTATGTAATAAGTCTAGTCATTAAAACAACAAAATATTCTTTTAACCTGAATCACTCACTCTATGTTGCTGATCAAGTTGTTAATGTTACTTTTGTACATAATCATTTTACAGTTTGCAAGGCATGGTTCTTTTTGATATTATACAGGAAATTCCAGACAGATAGTATAATATTTAATATTTATTAAAAGATAACAGTGTATTGAACATATTTACAAGTAGTCTCACACAGGACTCACAAACAGTCTTGTCTTAGGATATGGATTTGCCAGTTTACAATAAGGAAAAAGGTTATCTTTAGAGCAACTATGTAGCTGAATTTTGTGCAAAAAAGAATTCAACTTTAGCAAATACGTTTACGTAGAAGAAAATGTCCATAAACATTTTTTATTTTAGTACATTCAGAGTAAGGAAAAAACAGGATTTTCTTTCATATAAGTCTCAAGAATTCCCACTTTTTCTTTAGAAAAAAACTGACTTCATATTTTATGGATAAGAAAAAAGTTTGAAAATAACTTTTTGTTTTGTTTTCAGCTAAATTCTTCTTCAATTATTCTTTATTCTGCTTGATAACTTTTTCATGTTCAGCAACTTTACAGGTTCGTCCTTTTTAAACATTTAAAGTAGTTAGGGGCTAATGGTGTAGGTTCAGTGGTACAGTGCATGGTTAGCATGTGCAAGGACCTGGGTTTGAACCCCAGGTCCACACACACAAACAGTAATAATTAGTACATATTACATTATCTAAAGATTAAACTTGATGTAGAAATCAATTTACATACCTTTATGTCTTGCAGAGAGTGAACAGGTACATTCTATGTAAGCTAATAATAAGAAAAAATACAGCTAAAGCCATAAGCCCTCTTTAACATTACTTTTATTCCTTTGAGTAAGAGGCAAACAATTTTAATACTTACAATTGTTAATGACAAAACATGGTCCTTGGGGTATTATGTATGCTTGTGGATGCATACACACACACATCTACGTATAGGTATGTATGTGTATAGATATAATTGTTATAATGAGCACATACAACCACAAAAAAGGTAATATACAATTAAATGAAATACTAAACAAATAACAAGATAAACCATAGATTTCAGAGAAGGGGGATAGGCATGTAGGTTTGGAAAGGACAAATTAAGCCTTCAAGGTGGAAATAAGATTTGTTCTGAACCTTAAGAGAGCTATAGCAATAATAGGCTACAACACAGCTATAGAAGGGGAAGGTAAGATACTCCAACTGCAGAATAATTGTGAATCAAAATTGCTAAAGACCAATGCTCACACATCTCAGTAAAAAAAATGGGAGATTACAGTGGAATGGGGACTAGAGGAAATTTATGTAAGAAATCTTATATGCCCTTAAATTTGAATTCATCTAGAATTAGCAATGCACTATTAATGGGCTCTTAAGCAAGGAAATGATGTAACCAAAGCAGTTCCTCATGATCAAAAGGAGAAAATGGATAGTAAAGAAGCTGAAGGCAAAAAGCTACAAGCAAGTACAATGATTTTAAAGAAATTAAAGATTTGAGCTTTTGTCATGTTGTTGGCACAGCAAGGACAAGGAGGTCAAACACTTTCAGCTTATCACAGGTAAAACTCAATATGATTTGATAAGTCCACAACATCCAGAAACATTTCATCTTTTGATTCTCAGTAATTAAGGATATCCTGCACTTTATTGGTGAACTCCAGCTTTCTGATCAGTTAGCTATCTTTACAGCAGTATATACACACTAGTGTGCCTGCTTCTTAAAGGTACTTCAGAGCTAAATATGACAATTTCTTAGCAGAGGTTCTCAAGTTTTTTACTGAACCTGTGAATTACCAGAGGAGCATATTTAAATTGCAGTTTCGAATTCCTGTTTTAGACCTGAATTACTTAAAATGTATCTGATTCCCAACACAGCTGGTCCTCAAATCCCATCTCAGACAAGTCATTTAAGCTTCCTGGCTTCAGCATAATTATCTGTAAAATAGGCATAATTGCTATCTTACACAGTTACAAAAATTAAATGAAATAACATATTAAGTGTCTAGCAATGGCCCTGGCACTTGGCAGATGCTAATATAATAGTCCTAACTTCTCCCTAATTTAGGATGCTAATTTAGGAAGTGCAGATACAGGATTTTCTCAAAGCAGACTACAGAATGGTCATGTCAGGTCCTTGTCATTTCCTTACTCAAAAAAACCATTAAGCCAGGAATGGTGATGCACACCTATAATCCCAGCAGCTCCGGAGGCTGAAGCAGGAGCCAGCCTCAGCAATTTAATGAGGAAGATGAAACTATTCAGTGGCTATTATATTAAACCACCCAGTGAAAGCACATCAAAACACATAACTTAGAGAGATCCTGTTTCAAAATAAAAGATAAAAACAGGCTGGGGATGTGGCACAGTGGCCCCTAGATTCAATACCCCATACCCAAAAAAAAAAAAAAAAAAAAAAATCAACAGGTCACTGATAATTTTTTAACAAAGTTCAAATTTAAAGGCATAGATCTCCTACATAATTTCCTTTAGTCTTCCACTATGATCTCTCATTTTTAACTAGATCTGCAGAGTTCCTAGTTTGTTATATTAACTAATAAAGACAGCACCTTGGAGGAGCTTTCCTTTCTCTTATCCACTATAAAGAAAGTACTTTTAGGGGCTGGAGATGTGGCTCAAGTGGTAGCACGCTCGCCTGGCATGCGTGAGGCCCGGGTTCGATCCTCAGCACCACATACAAACAAAGATGTTGTGTCTGCCAAAAACTAAAAATAAATAAATAAATATTAAAAAAAAAAAAAAGAAAGTACTTTTATATATGCTTTTTCCTTTTTTTTTTCCTCACAAAAAGACTGATCTTCAAACTGCGATAAGACAAAGAAAAGAGCAGTCCAAGATAAACTATTAAATAGCCCATATACTTTCAGAACTCTTCCTGTCAACTTTTCTCCTATCAATTACTTGGGGGCTGGTGGACAAAATTTTGATGGTTATGTGTCAGAATTCTACAGAAAGTACTGAAGATGATTGCCTTTCCAGTGTCTGTTCCATTCCTTCTGGTTCATGAGGTGAAGGCATGTATTCACTTGGAGGCCAGAGACAAGATCATTTCTAGGTGATGTGATCTGACAAAGTGAGGCAGAAGACTGAATGGAGTTACCAGTTACTTAAAGACAAGTTCTGTTTTCTCAGGTTATTTTGGAACTACTTTGCAGGCAGTAGGGGACTTTAATGATTTTTGAGCAATAAAGTAAAATAATCAATACTAATACAAAATAGTACCTCCCTTTCCTCCCCCCAGAAAAACCAACAATAAAACAAACTAATGAATTTTTAACTTATATTTTTGTTAAAATATAAACTAAGATTAAATTCTCAGTCTAAATTAGACTAAATATAGACTAAATATAAATACAACCCACTGAATGGATTTATAATCCACTTAAGTATTCCTTAAGTGTCCAGTCATTTTCTATTTTCTTCCATCTTCTTCCTTTTTTCTAAATATATTCTGCCCATTCTTCACTTATCATATGTAATTGATTCCATCAAACATCATTTCTCAGGATCAACCTACTTGAATAATCATGAAGCCTGCTTAGAGTTTTTGAAATCTTAAAACTTATCATCTTCACTACACATCCCAAGGCACTATTTTTATCACTTTTGGGGGGAGGGGGGTAGTACCAGAATGTTTCATAAAGAATCAAAAAAGTGGCTTATTTCCATAAAAAGGAAGATGAATATATTCAGTGGCTATTATATTAAACCACCCAGTGAAAGCACATCAAAAACTACTCATCCTTATGTTAATTAACAAAATTATAACAATAAATTCAATTACTACTTTTATCATTCACTTAATGCATACAGGATTCAAGCAATCAGAATGGCTTTCCATATTTGACATCTGCTTTCCAAACACTTCACATTTCAATCTTACATCCCTACAAAGAAATCCAAACGTATTTTCCTTACCTAAAAACACTATAAAAGACTAAAAGGCATTTAGAATTTTTTTAGACCTTGAAAAAGAGTGTTACATTTCCAACCTGTATTTATGTATTTAAGTTATAAGTTATTTTGTGACACAGCTTCAATTAAGTACATCATTGTTCAATTATCTGAATACTGCTTCATCTTGTCAAGTCAAATTCCTTCACATCAAGGCTCTTATTCAAGATTTCTTCTTCTGCAAAATTGATTTTTAAAAAAGAAAAGGGATAAACAAACATTATAAAGAAAAAGAAATTGGGAAGATTTCAAGTAGTAGCAAATTTGGGGTTTGTTGTTGTTGTTGTTCTTTTTCTTTTTCAATATTGGGGACTGAACCCAGGGGCACTTAACTACTGAGCCACATCCTCAACCCTTTTTGTTTTGAGACAGCATCCTGGAAGTTGCTTAGGGCCTCAGGAAGTTGCTGAGGCTGACTTTGAACTTGCAATTCTCCTGCCTCAGTCTCCAGAACCTCTGGGATTATAGGCATGCACCACTGTGCTTGGCTCACAAATTCCTTAATTTAACAAAGGTTTATATTTATGAAAATACTCAAACTATGATAAAATTATCTTTTTTTTTTTTCCATTAAAACACCTTACTTCCAGAAATCAATACATTTCTCCTAGGATACTCTTCAAAATACTAGTATTTAAATATCAGGAGCAAATCAGAGTGATGTGTAAATTAATCTTTATCATCAGATTCCAATCCGTCCCAACACGGTATAAGAGCAATATTTAACAATCACAAGTGAAGAGAATTATGATTAATCCAACATTATCTTCTACCAAGCTTCAATAATGATTAATGCTAACCATTATGGGTTGAATTATGTCCCCCAAAAGGTATGTGAAATTCAAACCCAACTAACTTCAGAATGTGACATTTGCAAAAAAAAAAAAACAGTCTTTAGAGATAAAATTAGCTAAGGTGAGTTCACACTGGAGTAGGGTGGGCCCTAAATTAACTGAAATGACAATGTCGATATAAAATGAGACAGACATGTAATCCCAGGGGCCAGCTTCAACAATTTAGCAAGGCCCTAAGCAACTCAAGTGAGACCCTGTCTCTAAATAAAATACAAAACAGATGTTTTTTGTATTGAGTGCCCCTAAGTTAAATCCCCAGTGCAAAAAAAAAAAAGAGAGAGAGAGAGACAGACACATAAGGGAATAAAGCTATGAAAAGATAGAGACAGTGACAGTGGCACAGGCCTATAATCCCAACAACATGGGAGGGTGAGGCAAGAGGACTACAAATTCAAGGCCAGCCTTAGCAATTTAACAAACTCTAATAGCAACTTAGATTGGGTCTCAAAATAAAAAATAAACTGCATGTAGTGATACACACCTGTAATCCCAGAGGCTTAGGGAAGCTGAGGCAGGAGGATTACAAATTCAAAGCCAGCCTCAGCAATTCAGCAAGACCCTAAGCAACTCAGTGAGATCCCCCTCTCTAAAGTAAATATTTTGAAAAGGAGGCTAGGGATGTGACTCAGTGGTTAAGCGCCCTTGGATCGAATCTCCATTTAAAAAAAGTGTTTCTAGACATTTTTAAATCCACTTTCCAGCTGGGTGCGGTGACATGTGCCTATAATCCCTGCAGCTCAGGAGGCTAAGGCAGAAGGATCACAAGTTCAAAGCCAGTCTCAGCAAATTAGTGAGGCCCTAAGAAACTTAGGAAGACCCTGTCTCAAAAAATAAAAAGGGCTAAAAAATAAAAATAAAAAGGGGCTGGTATGTAGCTCAGTGATAAAGAGCCTCTGGGTTCAATTCCAGATACAAAAATAAATAAATAAAATAAAACCATTTACAATTAGACAAGAAGATTTCAAAGAGATTTACTTTCAATAGTTTGTATTACAAAAACAGTTAAGTTTCGGGAGTTGTGAATTTTTTTCCTACCTCTGACCCTAACCAGTTGTAAACCACATATGCATAAATAGATTCTGAAAGTACCTGTAAAGTAAGGGTTCACTCTTTCAACCCCCAATTAAAGAAAACAGAACATATTTTATCACATTAACAACCAAGATTATGGAGCTGGGGTTGTGGCTCAGTGGTAGAACACTAGCCTAGCACGTTCGAGGCCCTGGTTCGATCCTCAGTACCACATAAAAATAAATAAATAAAATAAAGGTACTGTGTCCAACTACAACTTAAAAAAAAAAAAAAAAACCAAGATTATGCAGCATTCGATATGTATGATTTTTATAAAAAGTTGAGAGAAAACTTCAATAGGTGATGCAAAAATCTAGTTAAATCTTACCTTTTAAATTAGGTGGAAGTTCTCCAAGACCACATGGTACTGTGCTCTTCAATTTTTGCTCCACAGGAGAAAACTTAATTAGTGGTGATAGAGACTGTTTTCTTTCACCAAGGGACGTGCGTAAAGATGGTTTTGTATAATCAATGAGCAAATCATCAGTGTCCAAAAAGTTAAGCATATCATCTGCTTGCATATTTTTAGGTGAAGGACTTGATTCTGGTTTGTGTGTTTCAAGTGCTTCAGAATTAAAGAGGTAAGATTCTTCCCTTTTCTTGGAAAGAGATTTCTTTAGAGCTTCATAACTACTACTAATAGCCTGTAAATTGAAGTCTGATTCTGAAGTAGTCTGTCTTTCTCCCACATAATCTGGAAAAATGCCTCTGTACACAGGACTATTTGATTCCAGTTTAAAATTGGCCTCTGAACTACTAGAACTATTAAGACTTAGGTGACCAACCTCTTCTGGAAGAGTTTCATGTAATATGCCAAAATCTGTATCCTTAAGACTCTTGGAACTAATTTCACTTGCTATCTGAAAAGAGTTCCATAACATAGTCTTATGTATGGAAGGTTCATTATAAGAAGCTTGTGAGCAGTCCAATATTTTAATATACTTCTCTTCACTTTTACCTATCACATCTATTCTATTTCCCACAGTAGGGGAAAATCTCTCTATTTGGCTGATTGTTGAAAGCTTGGTTGGTAAAGGTGTACGTTCTAAATCTTGCTTACAAATTATTTTCTTATTTAACAAATCTGACTGATCTTCTACTGGGGATTCAGTTTTATGACTGGTCACATATTTCTCAGGCATACCCTTAATGCAACCTGAAACAACTTTCTCTTCAGCCAAATGAGATTGATCAAAATCTGAGAATAAACTGGCCATGCTGAATTCTTCTTGATTATGCAACACAGGTAGGGATCCCGACAATACTTCTCTATGTTCAGTATCCACTTGAATCGGTTCTGTACTTCTACTGTCTTCCACTTCAATTGCTTTTCTCCATGAGCTCCTAATTTCAGTTACTAATTAAAAGGGGGGAAAATACAATTTACTAATATTCTCAACATAAAGCCAGCAATTAAACACTTTATTTCTAATGCTGAAAATAAGGATACTGATTCAGTATATGTTCCATAAATATGCTGGTTGGATGCTAAAGTTCCACAAAATACCAAACCCCAACAACATCAGTTAACTCCATCTTCAGCTGATGAAACACAAGATGTGTAAGAAAAGATGTTCCTTAAATAGCATATAGTTTTTCACAATACATATGAGTTATATGCATTAAAAAGACAATTTCTCTTCCATCTAGGTCAGGGTGTAAACTTTTTCTATAAAGGGTCAAATAGTAACATTTTAAGTTTTGCAGCCATCTGATCAGTTCAAACTGTTCAACTCTGCAATTGAAAGTGGCTATAAACAGTATGTCAAGGGAGGGGGTAACAGGAAAAGTAAAGACAGTGGAATGAATCTGACATATCTTTCCCATGTACATATATGACTATACTACAGTGAATCTTTAAAAAAAAAAAAAAAAAAAATTTGTCAACAACTGAGCAAGTTGTGCTCAATAATTTTTTTTTTTTTTTAAACAGAACAAAGAGCAGGACCAGATTTGATTCACAGAATGTAGTTTGCTAACAACCAATCTAGGCTGTGGTTGAGTTGAACTTTAATTAAATCAGGCAGGAAAGAGAAATTGTATTTAATTACTCAACCAAGATGATTTGTTTTGGTTACATAAGAAAACCAGTATCAGAACTTTGCCAGCTGGCTGTGAAGGCAACATGTCTGTAATTCCTCCAGCTACTCAGAAGGCTGAGGCTGGGGGATCCCAAGTTTGAGACCAGCTTAGGTAGTACAGCAAGACTCTTATCTCAACAATAAATAAATAAATTAATGAAGAACTCTGCTTACGAATTATAGGGGAAAAAAGATCTGGTACTATTTGGGGAGAAGTAAAAATCTGTGCAGTTTTTGGCTAATATGCATGGTTGCTGACTGGGAAAATACAGCCTCTATACTTTCTAAATGTGGTCAGATCTGAATGCAGGAGACTTTTTAGAAAGTGGTTAAGTAAAATACTCTCCAGAAAAAAACCCAGGTAACACAACAAAAACAAAATTGTGGTATTATCACGGCAAATTATACCTCTGGAAAGTACATTAAAATCTCAAAATAATACTGATGAAAGACTGAATACTTCACTAAAATTCCCTTACATCACAACAAATAAAGAGCCATTGTCAACTAAGTTGAAAGATACAGAACAGAATTTTAAAATATGTTTCCAAAAGACAATAGGTCTAAGAGTGATAATATATAAGAAAGAGGAAATGAGATAGAAAGCATTATTAACTTACTTAAGTTTTCTGGAGTTCGGGGAATTTGTTTCCTTGTTAAGAAGGGGTTAGAAACTAGAGAGTCGATTAGTTCCTCTAATTTTACTTCTTTTCCTTCAGAGAGCTGTGGTGAATCAGATAAAACTGCTTGGGCAACCTAAAACAGAAAGAGAAAACTTAAAAAACAGCCAACCCCACTAGTCAAATGCAACAAAAACTTCTTAAGAATAGTAAAAGTGCAATGCCACTCCGCTGAGAAGCTGAAGCAGAAGTTCCAGGCCATCCTGGACAATTTAATGAGATCCTGTCTCAAAATAAAAAATAAAAAGGGTTGGGGTTGTCTAACGGTGGGAAAGTGCCACTGGGTTCAATCCCCAGTACTGAAAAATAAATAAACAAAAAATAAAAAAGAATAAGCACTTCACAGTCAGCAGATCCCCCCAAAGCAGATGGCAAAAAAAAAAAAACATGAGCCAGGTACCATGGCATACACCTGTAATTCCAGCTACTCAAAAGAGTCTGAGACCAAAGGATTGCAATTCAAGCCTACCAGCAGCTTAGGGAGACTGTCTCAAAATAAAAATTAAATTAAATTAAAAGGGCTGGAGAAGGATGGGGCTGTAGCTCAGTGGCAGAGCGCTTGCCTCACACGTGTGAGGTACTGGGTTGGATCTTCAGCACCAAATAAAAATAAACAAATATAATAAAGGCCTGCTGTCCATCTACAACTACGAAAAAAAAAATTTTTTTTTAAAATGGCAGGGGACTGAGGAGTTAGCTCAGTGTAGAGGGCCCCTAGTACCACACACAAAAAAACAACAATGAAACTCCAAGGTACTATGTATACATCATCTGGAGTGAAATAAAACATAAAACAATATTTTCATTATCTTAAATGGATAACCCACTAGAAAACAGTGTAGAAAAACAGATTCATACTTGGGAAGATTTATTAGTGGTATGGACAGTGATCTAAGTTACTATCTGCCACATCTTTGGATTTGACTACTCTATACCCACTCAAATGACTATTTTAAAGCAAACAGATTCTCCTTATAATCCATTTGCACAATAATATCTCTATTAACAAAAAGAATACATTCTGACAATATACTTCCTTGCCAAAAACCTCATTATCATATCCAAATTAGTGAGCAATAGGGATACATTCTAAAGTAAAGATAAGAAAGTGTATGAAATAGCACTCTATTAACTAAGTATCAACAAAAATAAAAAACAAAAAACATATGCTTAACTAAATCCAAATATTGCTAAGGTATGTTATGGAAAACATGTATTAAAAATAATATTAGTGAATGATCGACAAGTAATTTGTGTAAGCTGAGTTCTGTAGTACTGAGCAATAGAGGTATAATCTGTTCAATTACTAGTGAAAAGGAGAATAGAATTAAGGGGCAGGATTAGCTAGAAAACTGAGTTCATGAACAGCAATGTATGTAATCACTTTCAAAATATTTAGGAAACAAACCAAAAAAACCTCTAAATATTCCTTGTTTTAATATTAAAAAAAAAAGCAACATTAAAAAATATTTAAAACTATGTAATGGTTAATCCCTAAAATATGAAAGAAGTATTTTTATATTTTGGGGTTTTTGTTTGATTTGGTTTGGTTTGGTACTGGGGATTGAACCCAGGGTCACTCAACCACTGAGATACATTCCAACCCCATTTTATTTTTTGAGACAGGGCATTGCTAAGTTGCTTAGGGCCTCACTAAGTTGCTGCGGTGGCATTGAACTTGGGATCCTCCTACCTCAGCCTCCCAAGTCACTGTAATTACAGATATGTATCATCACCCTAGGATTTTTATACTTTTGGATGATATTTGTAGAATGGAGATGGAGTTCTAAAACATGGATGTAATCTTAGTACATTTATAAGCAATCTATTTCTACTTTTAGGATGGTATCAATTTTGCATTAACCAAGATTTTTATTATCTGTGATCTCCCTTCCCCCAACCAACCTCAGTTAACTGCAAATTAACTGTACTTCACTACTGATTCCAACATCATTGAGTGGCAAAAAGGTATTTAAGTATACTTATCAACAGTCTTTTTCTAACCTCTTCTACCAGATGATCTTGCTCTTTTTGGAAAGGATCACTTTTTGGGGGAGCCAGAGACCCTTCAAATGCTCTAGTCTCTGTATTCTTTGCAACATCTGATACTGAAGAATCTTCCACTTTAAATTCTGGTGTTTTCTTAGATAGTGTTTCATTTTTTTCTTTGGGAGTTCTCATCTTCATATCATAAAGAAAAAAGACATGTAATATTAAAACCTTAATCATGGCCGATCTTGAAGCTTTTTCTTTTTAATTTTTTTAATTTGTTCTTTTAAGATATATTGAAGCTTTTTTTCATTAAACATTCATGTGTAAAATCATGAACCCAAAAAATGTTAATAATGTCATAAAATTATATGTTCACTAGCAGAGTTAAATAATTCCAATAGTTCCACTTGGCAAAAAAACATATAAACAGAAATGGCATAAAATATACAAACACTGAGAAATTAGAAAACAGAAATTAAATTTAATAAAACTATTATAGCAACAAAAATAATATCATTTAGTACAGTCAGAATCAATTGTTTCAGAATATACCTTTTCAAGTAGTGTAACATTGTTTCTATCTGATGATGAAGCTGGCTGTAACAGGAAAGAGGCAGAACTAAAAGGAAAAAACAATAGCAAATTCAAGTTACAAGTAGAAAAAAATTCCATTCACTTGATGTATCTTAATATTTTTTAAAAACTGTCTGCCCCGTATCTGTCCGTTACGATTTCACTCAATTCGTCCCGGTCATCAAAAGGCAGTTTATTCTAGGGAGGTATGGTGACAAGTAGAGCAGTATTTCAGCCCAATTTGTGTATCAGCCTCCCAATTCACATTTTACTTACTTGCTATATATGTTTTAAGTCAATAGCATTTTTAAATATTTTTTAGATGGACACATATCTTTATTTTATTTACTTTTTTATTTATTTTCTATGTGGTGCTCAGGATCGAACCCAGTACCTCACAAGTGTGAGGCAAGCGCTCTACTACTGAGCTATTACCCCAGCCCCAAGTCAATAGCATTTTTTAAAAGGGCTAAATAACCTGATGAACACTCAAAAACTTGAAAAAGGCTTAAAACAGATTCAATTTATTAGAACAGCAATATTACAAGGTTTACAGGGTCCAGATCACAGAATTTCATTGTAGCAAAGTATTTAAGATTCTTTTGATAATTCATGTCTTCAAAATCAATTTCTCATGCTAAATATTGCTTAATTGCAAATATGTTACATATCAAGTCATGAGTTTATTCAGTTTTCATTCACTGTAATCTGTATGTTTATTCTTTAAACTTTTAGATCCCCTGCCCATTTGAATGAATACTAAAAAAAGTAACTTATTAAATTTTAAAACCTTAAAGGAAATGATAACTTTAAAGTAACCATTTGAGGGGGGATGGAGCCATGGCTCAGTGGTAGAATGCTTGCCTGTCATGTGTGAGGCCCTGGGTTTGATATAAATATAAATAAAAGATCCATTGATACTTAAAAAAAAAAAAAAAAACTAACCATTTGATCTTGACCTCAAAAGATCTTTTAAATTCAAAGGTCAAAAGCTTTTCTACCCTAGGTAATTTAAAAAACAGGATTACCAAAGAGACCACTGTCAACAGCAAGCATATAGTACTGAGCTTTTTCACAGCCGTAAGTACAAAATTAAGGGCTTTTGCAAGTATATTAGCCAATATGTGTGTGTGTCTGTGTGCGCACGCTTTTGCAGTGCTGAAGATTAAACCCAGGGACACAATACCTGAATTACAACCTCAACCCAAGCATGTTTATTTTTTTATTTTGAAACAAAATCTCACTAAATTGCCAGGTTGGCCTCAAACTTGAGATCCTCTAACTTTAGCCTCCCTTGTTGCTGGGATTACAGGTATGTAACACAATACCCAGATTAATTTTTCAAATGTTTTCATATATGCACTCTTGGAATCTTCTTGTATCCTCCAAACACAATTCAAAGTCACTACAATTGCTGAAGGTTCAATTTAGCATTAACAAGATATGATGAAGCTGGCTGTAACAGGAAAGAGGCAGGTATCAAAGGTAAAGGGCTATTATATTTCCCTAAATTTCACATTAAAATCATCAAAAAGCTCTCTGAAACAGGGCCAATAATTTATTGACCAATGTCATTAAGGTGCCAGATTGATTGAGACAAGGGGACAAAGGTTTACATTCTTCCCAAAAGCTATTCCCAGGTAGCATAGTTTAGTGTGAGATAGTGCAATACATACACATTAATTGTTTGATGGACTGACCAAATCAATGAGTAAATGTCATTTGAGGATAGGGTTCTTTGGGTGACAACAATTGTTTCTATTTAAATCACTCTTGTGGAGCCTTGTAATAGAGAACAATAGAAATGCATTTTATACCCTCCTCTCTCACATTTCTGAATTGGCAACATGCTATTAGATCTGCTAACATTATAACCAAAGACACTGCTAAAGCAGCCCTAGCTCATTCCTAATTCACTATCTATTTCCATGCCAAGCAAGACCCATAAAATCAAAGCATTGTAACAGACCAAAAGAAAGGGTATTGATCCCATCATGGCATTTATGCCAAAGAAAGAGCAATTCCCAAAAAAAAAAAAAAAAAAAGCAGCATTCTTTTTATAAGAATTTTTTTTCAAAGGGAGAAATAAATATAAACGTCTAAAAACAAACATAATGGTACAAAGCATTAAGTGGAAATTAGTTAACATAATGCTCATTAAAATATAGAGACAAACACAAAACTGTTTACACTATACTAATATTATATAAACTTTGTATTTTAGAACATGACAGTATCCATTCTTTGTTAGAACTAAATTTATATGATTCCATATAAACTCTAGAAAAGAAATTCAAAGGAAAAAAATGTGACAAGTGATTTCATAGAAATTTTAGGCAATTTTTTTCACTTTAATTTACTATTGTTGCTACATTATATCTAGATAGCTGAGAAATAATAGAAATTATTACAAGAAGAAAGGTGAGATTGAAATTCAATTCTAACACTAACAATGTTCAGCTGACATCTTAATATTATACTACCCTATCTTCAAAGTTAACTAAAGGAGAAAATGTAGACATTAAGGGTCAAGAACAGCATCATCATCACCACTAGAAACAACATGGAAACTTCCCCAAAACCATTGTAAAGAAAAATAGTGACCATAGTGACAGAGAAGGAATCACCAATCACTGAACTTCAGTTTTAAGTATGGTGCAGCCTCCATAAGCTCACTACGTCAAAACCAGCAATGACATTTATGGAGAAGACTGTTTTGATACGTGTAAATGATAACTGCATATGAAAGGGCCAACAACATATTCTAAATCTACATTCTTTCCAGATTTTTAATTGAATAGTTATATCAACCATATTCACATATAAATTTCCCAATAATGTAAGATGATAGTATTACAAACTTAAAATTTTGAGTAAATGCTGAACTATTCAGAAAAGGGGATTTTCTTTTCATTCAATAAGCATAGTCTATCCATATTACACATGAACAAAGTACAGGGATTGAATCCAGGAGTGATTAACCTCTGAGCTAAACCTCCAGCCCTTTTTTAATATTTTATTTAAAGACAAGATCTCAATGAATTGCTTAGTGCATCACTAAGTTGCTGAGCCTGGTTTTGAACTTGCCGTCCTCCTGTCTCAGCCTCCCAAGCCACTGGGATTTACAGGCATGAGTCACCACACGCAGCCTCACAAATACCTTTAAGAGTGAAGAATTCTAAGCAATATAATTTATTCTACATCCTAGAAACTCAACTCCTCACAGGTCTTCTGTTCTGCTAACAATACTAACTTTTCACATCCCATTAAGCATTTTACTCCTCACCATGAAAAGCCTTCCCTAGCAGAGTGTGGTGGCATATGCCTATAATGCCAGGGACTTGGGTAGCTGAGGTAGGAGAACTGCAAGTACAAAGCTAGCCTCAGCAACTAAGCGAGGCCCTGAGCAACTCAGCAAGACCCTGTCTCAAAATAAAAAGGGCTTAGGGATATAGCTCAGAACCACAGTCTGAGTTCAATCACCAGAACCAATAAGTGAAGAAAGGAAGAAAGAGAGAGAGAGAGAGAGGGAGGAATCCTTTGCCTAAACACCCTTCAATATCCCAAACCTATAATTTTTAAAAGTATCAAAGTAATTTAAAGACCCAGGAGATTAAAAGAGGAAAAATGTGAACATCAAAGAATACTTAATATGTCTCCTTTTTTCTATATTAAAAGACTACATTCGAACTACCTTTTAAGGGTTGAATGTCTATCTCCTGTATAGAATTGATAGTATATATTACTATACAATTTTCTAAAAAGGAATCAAGGTTCAATAACATTCATGAATAAAACTCAATTTATGTATTAATCTAGTACCTCCATCAATCTATAGTTCAACAAAAGACTTTAATTGAAATACTTAATTTGCCCTCTCAAAGGAAGACAAACCAAGAAAATAACTAAGATTGATAAGTACCAAATATACCCTCCTGGCATGCTATAAGAAAATTGTGACATGAGGATAAATTGGGCAAGCTAATACTCTACTATCAACACTAGATCTTCAGAGATTTTATTATTTTTCCTTAAGTATTCAGAGAATCAACAACAAATCCAAACTTAAGAAAAAAGAGATAGGGCTGGAAATATAGCTCAGTTGGTAGAGTGCTTGCCTCAAATGCACAAGGCCCTGGGTTCTATCCCAAGCACCACCAAAAAAAAAAAAAAAAAAATTCCACAACTAACACTGACCTCCTATGAACAAGAAAGTTATTACAGAGGCAACTGCAAATGGCTCAATTTCACACAAAAGTTTTGACTCTAGTTATAGTATTTCAACTTTCTAAAAATATATATAATGAAAACTACTTCATGTGAAATTTAGAATTATTTTTTTCCCCACAATAATGGAAATTGAACCCAGAGATACTCTACTCCCGATCACCATCTCCAGCCCTTTTTAATGTTATTTTGAGACAAGGTCTCTCTAACTTCCCAAGCTGGCCTGTAGTCACCGGAATTACAGATAGGTGCCAACGCACACAACTTATAGAGCTTTCTGATTTAACTTTCCTAATAATTTTATTTTCATATCTATCCCTCATCTACTTGGAGAAGGTGAACTGAAAGATACCCATTAAAGTCAAATGTCCAGGTGTGGTGGCATGCACGCCATCAGTCCCAGTGAATCAGGAGGCTGAAGCAGGAGGATCACAGGGTTGAGGCCAGCCTCTAAAACTTAGCAAGACCTAAGCAACTTAGCAAGACCTTGTCTCAAATCATAAAAAGGGCTAGAGATGTGGCTCAGTGGTTAAGCACCCCTGGATTCAATCCCCAATACCAAAAAAAAAAAAAAAACCCACAGTCATATGGCAATAAAAATAATAATAAATAATCTATTCAGTATGTCTTAATTCTATTGCTCCTTTACAATGCTTAATAATCTCAATAAAGACCAAATATATTCCACTAGTAAATTACATACACTTAGGGATTTATATATATGTAACCTGGCATCAGTTTTAAGAGCCAAAATGAGATAACAGAGAAAATGGGCAATAAAGAAAATAGGACTACTCCTGAAGGAAACTAACAAAGTAAGTTTAGGATTTTCATATGTTAAATTTGGGGGTGAGAGTAAATCAGAGTCTCCCAATATTTTCTGAAACCATAGAAAAATTTTTAGCAAGTGGTTTGTCAAAAGCCTCAGTACACAATATAGATAACTGAACAAGCTGAAATGGGAAACAGCTGAACGAACCAAAGCCTGAATTAAATTCAGTTATCAAACTAGATGATCTCAAAGATTCCCAAATTCTTGACTTCTAGTTAAGTTTTTACAGAATGTTTTCAAAAGTTCACAAGTACAAAAAAATGGCAAAATTTCCAAAACTTACATTAGATAATTTCTATATACATTTTTTTCTTTAATATCAGATTATCCCCATGAAATACAATATTTAAACTACAGATGGAGAAAAAAAATGCCCATGCATCATAAATGCTAAATCTTTTCTGAAAATGTGGGTCTACTATAAAGTATAAATACTGCCTGGTTAAGATAGGGCAGTTATATAGTAAAGTTTGGAAACTTAGTAGAAAAGTTTCGAAATTAGCTTAAGATGGGACTAAAATTACTATAGAAAATCTTTGCCACCTGCACTTCAGATAGAGCATTAATCTCCAAGATATATAAAGAACTCAAAACACTTAACACCAAAAAAATCAACTAACCCAAATCAATAAATGGGCAAAGGCATTTCACAGAATAGGCACTTCACAAAAGAGGAAATAAAATCCATCAAGAAATATAAAAAATGTTCAACATCTCTACCAATTAGAGAAATGCAAGTTAAAACTACACTGAGATCTCATCTTACTCTAGTCAGAATGACAATTATCAAGAATACAAACAATAATAAGTGTTGGCAAAGATGTGGGGGAAAAGGTACAGTCATACTTTGCTGGTGGGACTGCAAATTGGTGCAACCACTCTGGAAAGCAGTATGGAGATTCCTCAGAAAACTCGGAATGTAACCACTATTTGATCCAGTTATCCCACTCCTCGGTTTATACCTAAAGGACTGAAAATCATCAAACTACACTACTACACTGACGCAGTCACATCAATGTTTATGGCAGCTCAGTTCACAATAGCTAAGTTATGGAACCAACGTAGGTGCCCTTCAACAGAAGAATGGATAAAGAATATGGTGTATATATGTGCACAATGGAATACTACTCAGCCATGAAAAAGAATGACTTTATGTCTTTCATGGGAAAATGGATGGCCTGGAGATTATCATGCTAAGTGAAATAAGTCAATCTCCCCAAAAAACAAAGGCCAAATGTTCTCTCTGATATTCGGATGCTAACACACAAAAAGGTGTGGAGAGGGAAGAATAGAAATTCAGTGGATTAGACAAAGGACCATGAAGGGAAAAGAGAAGACAGGAATAAGAAAGACAGTAGAATGAATTGGATATAATTTTCCTATGTTTGGATATGCATATTTGACCATGTAACTCCACATCATGTACAACCACAAGAATGGGTATACTCCATGTACATATGTCAAAACATACTCTACTATCATGTAGATCTAAAAAGAACAAATCTTTTTAAAAAATATATAGAAAGTCAATATAAATATCAAATTTGTTTTACCTGTTAGCTAGATCACACACAGCTATCAAGGTATCAATGTCTGCTTTGTGATCCTTTTCTTCATTATGTTGCTTAGGTATATCTAAAGTAGAAAAAATAATTACTTATGTTCATACATGTTCAAGTATTTCTTGAAATTCTAAAACCTTTTTATTTTTTTGTACAGTTCTGGGGATTAAACCCCAGTCTTCACACCTATTAGATAAGTAGTCTCTTAGCCCCAGAACAGAAGAAATCAGAAGATAACAAACACTTAATAAGAAAAGAATTATCCAATTGTTAAGGTAAAGTGATAGGCACAAAAGTAATACAGCACATCTAAATAGTAAGCTTTTATAAAAAGATTGCTACATGTGCAAGGCTATGACCTTGATACACAGTCATGCAAAAAACAAACAAAACAGACAACTGAACCGGAAACTCATACTAAAACAAAATTTCCAAAAGCTGACAGTCCATAAATTTTCCAGTGTTATATAACTATGTTTCCTGTTTAAGTACACAAATCATGTAATAGCACATAAGCCAGCAAGGCCAAAAAGCTAGTGTTTAGCATACTTGGCACAGTTTTTATGCAGCAATCAATCTAAATATTTACTCATCATCTTATCATTGAATAACTATGTGCCACTACTGTACTAACAATGGGAAAAAGAAAGGAGAGACCATGCTTCTAGTGAGTCAGTCAAGTGATGAATGAAGTGTGATACTACTAAGTGTTAGTATACAGAAGTATGTACAAAAAGCAAGAAGTCAGAAGAGACACCTGGCCCAAACTGGGGAGAGGGAAGAGGTATGAAGGCATTGAGAGAATATGGTACTGTAGCATGGGGATTATGCCCTATAGCACTGGGTTAGGGGATATATACCACGGAGGCATAAAGGGAAATGAGACTAGTGAAGAAAGCCAGGGTTATGCTACATAGGATTTGATATTGCAGGGACTACTCCTCTTTCAACATGTTAGTTTCCAAAAGGCTTCCCTATTTGCACATGTGTCCCAAATGTCACTGTATCAGAAGCCAATGTAAATACTATGCAAAGTTTTCCTCTTAATCCATCATTATAAACATGCCATTTCTTATAACATTTTCACCTTCAGGCACCTACTAATTGTAACGAAACTGCGCTAATGCTTATAAACATCCCCAAAATAAGCACAAATACAACTCTACTACAAAACTGGTAGAAAAATCATGAACAAAAATTATTATACACCACTATAAACACCATCTATTGTAGGGAGCCAGAGTTGAAACATTTATTCTGGCATGTAAGAAAGCTTGAAAGGTAAAAATTGGTAAGCATTTCAAATTCTTCCCCCTAATGATAAGAAGCTATTAATGTGTTTTATATCAGAAAATGAAAGGGACCATATTTATGTTAAAGTAAGACCACTGACAGCCATTGTGTATATGGAACAAATTGAATATTGGAGATAGCATAACTAGACTGAATATAATTTCAAGTAAGAAATGATGTGCTGGGGGTGTAGCCCAGTGGTAAAGCTCTTGCCTAACATGCATGAGGTCCTGGGTTCAATTACTAGCACTAATATTTAAACAAAAAAAAAAGAAAGAAAGAAATGAGAACTAGATGTGAAAATAGAAAATGTGAGGATAAGACATTTGAAAGATAAAAAAATAAAACTGAACTCATAAGAGGGCAAACCAAACAGAAACAGACACTAATTGGTACCCTACCATAAGTACACTAGAACTGCTGAATTCAATTAAGAAAAATAAAGGAACTAAAAGAACAAATAAATATCAACATAAGACAGAAAGTCTGATCAGAATGGCAAGCTCAAACTAAGAAAGGGCATCTGATAAAAGCAGGCAGGCTCTAGGGTCTGGACACTGGAAAATTTATGCCTATCTGGCTAAATTCTGAAGCCACTCAAGCTGGGATCTGAAATGAGAGACTGACATAAAGCCAGGATACTGAAAGAGCTGCTCTCTAATCCTCAAAAGGGATTATAAAAATTCTGCCACCTGGACTGAAGAAGTATAAAGATTCTTGCTATACCTGAGTTGGGGGGAGGGAATGAAAGAAATTTAAAACCTTTACTACTCAAAAGGAGGTATAAAATCCAAAATTATAATGGTTACTTGTTATAGGAATCCCAAAGACATTAACTGGTCTAATTCAAAAGAAAAATCTATATCTATATAGTAACCTATAGAGGCTATTTTATAACCCAGAGCTCCCAAGAATCCTTCAGAGGTAAAGAGACTCAGTAAAGTTGAAATCATGATCACCTTTCTCATGCAAAGCAAAAAACCATGAGCACTGGCAAGCAGAACATATAGAAGCACAAATAAGCAAGACAGAAGACAGAAAAATTAAAAAGACAAAATCAGTATATTTAAAATGATTAGTAGCCAGGTGCTAGGGTACTCAACTGTAATCCCAAAAACTCAGGAGACTTAGGAGTATCTCAAGTTTGAGGCCAACCTCAGAAACTTAATGAGAGTCTAAACAACTTAGTCAAACTATCTCAAAATAAAAAGAACTGGGGCTGGGGATGTGGCTCAAGCGGTAGCGCGCTCGCCTGGCATGCGTGCGGCCCGGGTTCGATCCTCAGCACCACGTACAAACAAAGATGTTGTGTCAGCCGAGAACTAAAAAATAAATATTAAAAAATTCTCTCTCTCTCTCTCTCTCTCTAAAAAAAAAAAAAAAATAATAAAAAATAAAAAAAAATAAAAAATAAAAAGAACTGGGGATGTAGCTCAGTAGTAAAGTAAAGCAGCTCTGGGTTCAAGCTCCAGTAACAAAAAAATAAAATAATTAGCAAAAAAGAAAACAAAAGAAGCCATAATGAAAGAAGACCATAAAAAAATCAAATTTTGAAAAAGAAGCATAATAAGGCATCTAGAAATTAAGTATTCATAAAGATTAAATACTAAAAATAGGTCAAAAGGCAGATCGAGCTGGGCACAGCAGAGCAACTCAGGAAGCTGAGGAAGGAGGGATGTGAATTTAAAGCCAGCCTCAGCAACTTAGCAAGACAGTGTCTCAACATAAAAAGAAAAAAGGTTGGGGATGTGACTCGGAGGTCAAGTGCCTCTGAGTTCCATCCCCTGGTACCAAAAAAAAAAAAAGCAGATCAAATATATATCTAAAAGATAACTAGCGAACTATAAAAGGAATTTTTAAGGCTAGGCACAGTGGAACATGCATGTTGTACCAGCTATTTGGTAGGCTGAGGCACGATCACCTGAACCCAGGAATCAAAAGACAGGCTGGGCAACACAGCAAGGCCCTGTCTCAAAAAAACAAAAAAGGAAAAAGAAAATAAGGACTGATACCCACGTTCATCAAAATGGACGAACCTTGTAAACATTGTATGTAAAGTGAAAAACTGTGTAAGCAACAGATTAAAAAAAAAAACTTTGGGCTGGGGTTGTGGCTCAGTGGTAGAGCACTTGCCTAGCACGCAGGAGACACTGGGTTTGATCCCCAGCACCACATAAAAAACTACATGAACAAGCCTCACATGCATAAGGCCCTGGGTTCAATAAAAATAAACTACCTGAGCAAAAAATAAAGGTATTGTACCCATCTACAACTTAAAAAAAAACAACTCATATTGTATGATTTTTATTGTATGAAATATTCAAAATAGGAAAATCTATAGCAACAGGAAGTATAGTGCCATAGAGTGGAAGAGGAGAAAATAGGGAGCAACTTCTTAATGGGTAAGAGATTTCCTTTTAAGACAATGAAAATGTTCTGGAACTAGAGAGTGATGATGATTGCGCAACTATAAATTGACTAAATGTTACCATGTTGTACACTGTGCAATGAATGAAATGGTAAATTTTATGTTATGTTCATTTCACCACAATAAAAAACAAATGGAGAACAAAAGCAATAAATATAAAGAAACATTATAATAATAATAATGACAGAATGAGGATTAAAAGAGAAAAAGATAAATAACCAACCTGGTAGTGAAGCAGGATACTGAAAAAGAATACTCCTTGCATATACTTCCTCTGACACAGGATCAAACGAAAGCGGAGACATAGGTGGTAAAAGATCCACAGCCTTTAAATACAGAATTCACAATTTTGAAGTAAACATGCTAATTACTACAATAACAATGATAATATACAAATGATTCTTTTCCAAGCAAAACTAGAATTACAAAGTATATATCCCATACTGTTTCTAAACCAAAGAGTACAATATTACAAACAAGGGGATCACTTTGTCCTCCAACTATGTCTCAGATATCATGGTATCTCACATGCAGTTTTTCTGGGGTTGTTTTCGTGTTAGTTTTCTGAGACAGGGTAAACCAGGCTGGCCTTGAACTTGCAATCCTCTTGCCTCTGCCTCCCAAGTATCTGGGATTACAGGCATACCACCCCACCCACCTTCATTTTCTTTTTAATACAACCCTCTGAATTTAAAAAAATTAACTATAAACGACAACATTAGCTTAATGAAAAGTCTATCACATATTTTAAAAAATTACAGAAATCAAAACTTGAACTTTAGACTCAGAGTCAGAGATGATAACACACATAGGGTTTCAAGGACATTTGTAACATGGTAAATCAAAAAGTTACCAAAACTAAACTACTCTCCAAAGGGCAAATCAATGTTACTTACTGGAGTCCAATCTTTAATTAGATTGAAAGGAGACAAACCAAGAAACTCTTCCCATTTTTTACACCACTCTCCTTGCTTTCTAATAATAGAATGTCTTATAGTTGTGAGATCTTCTTTTATTTTACACCTATGATAGCATAAAAAAAACTATTCAAACATGAATATACAAAAAAAAAATGGAGTGAAATTTAAGAAAACAGCAACACTAGTAGGTAAGGAGAAAGTTTAACCAATATAACACAAAATCAATCAAATAAGCTCTCAAATGAATATTCAGAGTTTAAAATACCCTTTCTCCTTTTAAAACCAGACAGCAATCAAACATCTATTCCATGTACCTTAAAAATACAATTTTTCTTCTTCAGGGGGAATTCTACGCCCATGCTCTGTTCCTAAATGCAGTCTATAACTACCAGTCTTTCTTTTCAAATATAAAAATTTTTCAGGCTGCGGTTGTAACTCAGTGGTAGAGTGCTTGCCTAGCACACTGAGGCACTGGGTTTGATCCTCAGTACCACATAAAAATAAATAAAGGTATTGTGTCCATTTACAACTAAAAAAAAAAAAAAAAATTTTCTGGCCAGGCGCAGTGGTACATGCCTATAATCCCAGCAGCTTCAAAGGCTTAGGCAAGAGGATGGCAAGTTAGAGGCCATCCTTAACAATTTAGTGAGGCCTTAAGCAACTTAGTGAGACCTTATCTCAAAATAAAAAATAAAAAGGGCTGGGGATATAACTTAGTGGTAAAGAGCCTTGGGGTTAAATCTCCAGTATAAAAAAAAAAACCTTTGCTGAAGTTCAGTTTTATTATTATATGACATATATATGCGCACACATACACAAAAGGAGAAAAGTTAAAATTATTTCATAAATTATCAGTGAAAAATAATGTATTCCATATAAAGAAGAAAAAACTGCATTAACTTTCTACTTCATGGGTCTGGGTTGATTACAAAGTTACATTAAAAATTTCACACTTGTTTGACAAAGCTGAACAGGCATTATCTATACAAGAATTTTGCTGAGAAAGCCAGTCTATTCCTCTCATACTAAAATTTTAAAAAAAGATCTTTCTAGTGTACCTCATATGCTTCAGATCTGATAATCTTTCCCTCTGCAATTTGGTCTCTTTTTCAAGGTAGTGAAGGTCTATTGTCAATCTTGCTTGGTCAGCCTGACAACGTTCATATTTCATTATTTTCAGGACTTCATTTAACAACTGAATTACTGTTAAGAGATTCAATTTTCCAGCCTCATAAACACTTCCTATATGCATCTAAAGAATCAAAGGGGGAAAAAAAGTAAAAAACTATAGGTTCCTCAGATAATAAATTGTTACATAAATATATCTATCTTTTTACTGTTACATAAAAAGCTCACCCTAACACAAAACTTTATAAATAATTTCAATCTAACTAATATACCATCATGCTACATTTTTATATGTTGCAAAGGTTGAAAACCAGAGTAAAAGAAATCAAACAGATGGAAAGAAAAAAATCAAGATTTAGAAGAAAGAGCAGTTTGGCAAAGAGATCAGGAGTTCATTTTTTAATCAAAAGTTAAAATCTGGGCTGGGGGTATAGCTTTGCACTTGCCTAACATGTGCAAAGCCCTGGGCTCAATCCCCAGTACTAAAACAAATTTTTTTTAAAAAAAGAGTTACAAACTGATGACTCCTAAAAGCTGCTTCCAAAATTGGGTCATGTCCATTTGGCCTGCACAGCTAGACCCTGGGCAAGAACCCAGGGTCTCTTGCATACTATGAAGTAGTCTATCAATGAACTATACCCCAGTCCCTAGTTACCAGTATTTTTTAAATCATAAATTTCACCACGAATATTACAGTAATTTTCTCCAAGACCTCATCGCTTCCTATCTTCTCCCTATTGTTATAAATAATTAATGTACTCCATACCTATTGCCTGTATTCTCTACAGAAATCTAAGTTTATGCATCTTGGTTTTTATGTACTTTGAATTTGATGGGCCTATCATGCTACCTATTAAAGCTTTCCAGAGTCACAACCATATTTAATCTTTGTAATCCCTGTGTTAGAATCAATACCATGTATATAGTAGATACTAAATAAGTCATGATTACTATAAGAAAATAAACTATCCAGATGGAATTTAGTTGAAGGGCAGAAACTAGAAATATCAACTTGGTAATATTATTGTAAGAAAAACCATGGAATTGTTAAGAAAATACAAGTAGATCTGTAATGAGGGGAAAAGAAAAACAGGCATCAAAGGAACCATGGAAAACCTTTTCATTTAAAAGCTTAGATAGAGATGGGCACACCTGTATTCCCAGCAATTCAGGAGGCTGAGGCAAAAAGATCACAACTTTGAGGTCAACCTCAATTCAGCAAGGCCCTCAGCAATTTAGAGAAACTAAGTCCCAAAATAAAAAAGATTGGGAATGTAGCTCAGTGGTAAAAAGCCCTTGAGTTCAATCTCCAGAATGAATGAATAAATAAATAAATAACAAGCAAGCGAGCTAGACAGAGAAAAATGAACCATTAAAAAAAAAAAAAAACACTAAGATCAGCAGTCTAAAAAAAAGGAAAAAAAAACAGACACTGGATATCACAACACTAAAAGAAATCTTAACTGGGTGCAACAGTGTACTACATGGAAGGCTGAGATAGGAAGATCACAAGTTCAGGCCAGCTTCTGCAACTTAATGAAACTCTTATTAAATAAAACCTTATTTTACCAAAATAAAAACCAAAAAGGGCTAGAAATGTAGCTCAGAGGTAGGAGACCCCCGAGTTCAATCCCCAGTACCATGAGAGGAGGAAAAAATAAATAAAATGGAATGTTTGACAGATAAAAAATAAAACAGTATGAAGACTTTTTAGAGATAACTTTTCTCTTTGAGAATTTATTAAGAACTAGTACAGTACTATCTACCTACTAAATAATCCTGTCCTCTCTATACCGTGTGATGTATAAGGTATAGACAAATAATAAAAGTTGACAGTAATAAATACATACCCCTTTAAAAGTACCCTCTTTATGAAGATTTTACTACATATATTCACAAAATTAAAATTTTGAAAACAGTAGAAAAATATTTCTAGAAAATCAAACTTAACATATAAAATCACTGCATGGAGCTTTTCCAAAAGCTTTTTAGAAAATATTAATGCTTACCTGACACACTTGTTTCTCTATTTTGTCAAGTAAGAGCCTTGGAATATTAATAATGACATTAGATCCATCTAAAGCATACTGGTTAACAAGACTAAGGACTGAACTAACAACTTCTCTCTCTTTTTCCAAAAACATGAGTGTTTCATTGACTGAAGTCCACAAAGACCGAACCTTTAAAAAGAAACAAATGAAATATCAAAGTCTACATATAGTTTATACATACAGTAAGTCAGGCACCGTAGTGCACACCTATAATCCCAGTGGCTCAAGAGGCTGAAGCAGGAGGATCCCAAGTCAAAGCCAGCCTCAACAATTTAGCAAGGCCCTAAGCAGCTTAGCGAGACTCTGTCTCAAAGTAGAAAAATGGCTGGGCACAGTGGCACATGTCTGTAATCCCAGTGGCGGGGAGGCTGAAACAGAAGGACCGCAAATTCAAAGCCAGCCTCAGCAACTGCAAGGCGCTAAGCAACTCAGTGAGATCCTGTCTCTAAATACAAAATTTGGCTAGGGATGCGGCTCAGTGGGGAAGTGTCCCTCAGATGTTCAATCTCTGGTACCAAAAAATAATAATAATAATAATTATACATATATTAAAGAAATGTAAGCATAAATATTTGCTCACTGCTAGTTAATAAGTAAATTTCCTGGGATGAATTCCAGTGAGAAAATTAAACTACTAATTCTAATAGTTTAAAAGCATTGATATTACTTTTAAAGGGCTTGAAAATGAAATAATTTCTCAGAAGAATCTAGATCAATTATAACTTTCAAAAAAAAATCTTTATACCAAGATACAATTAGTATTTTCTGTATTCTAAAAATGTCATTAATCTTAATGGAGAATTTTCAAGAAAAATAATAAAAAAAGTTTTCAAGAGAAAAGAAATACTACTAAACATTTATCTTAAGTCATTCAGATTCCAGAAAAGTTAAAATATAATTATGCTTCTCTAAAAGCAGAAACTCTCAGGCCTATATTAACCTATGTTCACTGAAATGTTTGTGCAAGGGCTGGGGTTTTAACTCAGTGGTAGAGTGCTTGCCTAGCATGTTGAGGCACTGAGTTCGATCCTCTGCACAGCATATAAATAATAAAATAAAGATCCATCAACAAAAAAAAGAAAAAACAATTTAAAAAAGAAATACATATACAAGAATTTTCATAGTATATTTATAAAAGTTTCAAATAGACTAGAGAAAAAAGTTTTAATGGATTATTGCACTGCATGGTGACCAGTTATTAACAATACATATTTCAAAACTGCTAATAGATTTTAACATTCCCATGTCAAAAAAAAATGATAAATTGGTAAGGTAATCAATGTTACTCACTTGACTAAATCTTTTAAATTTTAAATCTTTTAAATTTACATAAAGATCAACATATCGCATTGTACCCCTAAAAAAGCATTATCATTATTTATATCAATTAAAATAAGAATATTAACAAAAACATTCTAGAACTTTTATTTGTAATAGTTAAAACTGGAAACAAAGGTTCATCTAGATTGAAGATTTGACAGGCTATATATTATGATTTGCACATTTTTTGTATTTAGGTTATTCATTATCTTATCTGAATCATGAGAAGACTACACTAACATGGGTGTAGTCATGTTTACCGTATTCTTCTTACTTGGAAAAATCTGTTGAAGTATATCTCTAATTAAAGTGCTGCATAACAAGGTAAAGTTGTCCCCAAACATAGACTTGGTTGGTGGCCTGTTGGTCTCACAGGATGGGATTCCCTCCTAATTCATAATCATCCAGTATCCAGTTCTCAATTTTTACAAGTCTAGAATTTTGTCTATTAATGACTCAAAGCTGATGGACTCAGGGGAAATGAATACTAACCATATTCAGGACAGAACGATGTAAAATATTAATAGGTTTCATACCAACCTATTAAATTTATCATCAGTGATATTGCATTCAATAGTAAGAATGTTCCTATTCACAAAATTGAAAGATCCATAACGAAAGTAACTTTGGCTGTTTCTTCATTATTGTAGTCCAAATATCTAGAAGATGCCTGGCACATAGAAGGCAATCAATAAATACTCACTGTCCTACACAATAGCATACACCTGTAATCCCAGCAACTCGGGAGGCTGAGGCAGAAGGATCACAAGTTCAAAGATAACCACAACAATTTAGTGAGACCCTACACAACTTAGTGAGACCCTGACTCAAAATAAAAAATAAAAATGCTTGTGGATCAGGGGTAAAGAACCTCAGTACCAAAAAAATAAAGAAACACTCTCTGAATGATTAACTATTTCCTGAAGCAGGCACTCACCTTTTCCAGCTAAAAGGTACATAAGAAGTCCAATGAATACCCAAAGCAGCTTGAAAATCACAGAATCACAATAAAGAGCTTGAAAGAGATTCCATACAAACAAAAAGAAAACACTTTGAGCCCATATCAAAGCCAACCTCTGGTTTTTGCCTTAGATACTTTACATTTTCCAGATTCCTCTCTACTGCCACGTAATCCTCAATTTGACTTCTCATATTTTCCTAAATTTACCATCTCCCTTCAGCTAATTTATTTTATTTAGCTAAATTAATACCAGGAATTAAGTTATAATCAAGCAGAATTTTTCTTGCTGGAATAAAGATTTTAAATTCATCATTTAAAACAAATTTTGCATGTGTACTTAATCATATAAATTATAAACCACTATTTTTATTATATTCAAAGTTTTACTAGCATCTTATTGATATTGTCTTATATATCATCTAAAAAGAGCATAAAGAAAAAAAAAAGTAGTATTACTACAAAAAGAAACTGCAAAAAGAAAATAGAATACAGTTGCCAGGTATGGTGGCACATGTCCATCATTCCAGCTACTCTGGAGACTGAGGCAAGAGGATCACTGACTCCCAGGAATTCAGTGCCAGCCTGGGCAACAAAGTGAAACCCTATCTCTTTGAATGAATGAATAAATAAATAAATAAATAAATAAGTGTGTGTGTGTAGATATATATTAAAAAATAGTCCAATTAAGCAATTATCGCATATCACAAAAGTCAAAAAGACTCAATATGTCCCTTCAAAGTTGTCTCACCTTTTGAATTTTCTCTTGTATGTTACTTTCATCGTCACAGGGTTCCATTCTAGCAAAAATTAAATAATCTAATTAGTCATAAGAAAATTACACAGTGATTTAATATCCAAATTGGTCCACAAACCCACCTACTAATAGTCATTCCAATTAAAAAATTATAATAAAAATAAAATTCAAGCTCAAAGCAACAATAATTTTTAAGACTGGATTAGAAATCAGAGCTATGCTCTAATCCTATCATCATCTAGCTACTGACATATTATTTTAATTAATGTTTCTGAGAATCTGTTTCTTCAAACAAATAAAATGCAACTTCTATAGAATACATATAAGCCAATTCCAGCTCTAAAAGTCACTTACTTTTTTATTTGGTTTTGCAGTTCTATACATTCTGATCTCAAATTTCGTACTTGCTTAACTGATAATCTGGAAAACATATAAAATGTCAACTATAATTCCATTACAATTAGCCATCAAACCCCATTTAAATATATTCCCTTTTTATATCCTTGCTTCTAGAGACACCCAATAGTCAACCAAGACTCTGGACTCCCTTCAGTAGTTACATGAGGATGTAACATATAAGGTACTACTGAGATGAACAACAATTTGTAGGCTAATATTCTGAATTCATTGAGTAGAATGGTGGAGGTCAATAAGATTACTCTCTTATCCTTATCTCATATATCTAGAGGGTAAACTTAAATATTATAAAATATAGTCAGGCAACATTTCCATTTTAAGGTAATTTCAAAGGATTCTGTAGCATTATTAGTAACGATCATTTGAAAAATTATCTTAAGGGAGCTAGGGATATAGCTCAGTGGTGGAATGCCTGCCTCACATGCACAAGGCCCTATGTTTAATTCCTAGCAATGCAAAAAAAAAAAGAAAGTTAAATATGGAATATCTACTTAAAGAAGCATTTACTTAATAAAATATCTACTCAAAAAACTAATAAATACACATTGAAAGTAATACATTAATTGCGCTTGGTGGAGCCCGTCTATAATCCCAGTGTCTTGGAGACTGAGGCACTTCAAAGCCAGCCTTACCGGATTAGTGAGGCTCTGTCTCTAAATAAAATATTTTAAAATGGGCTGGGGAGGTAGCTCTGTGATTAAGTGCCCCTGGGTTCAATCCCTGGTACAAAAAAAAGTAATAATGTAAAAATTTATAGAATGAAATATCAAGTCCAAAAAGGATACAAAATAGAATGACCACAATTTCAGCGTAAAAAATATATTTCATAAAAAAAGAAAAAGCACATAAGAAATTAAATTTTTTAACTAAAGTGACTTTATCCTTTTCTCTAAACTTTCATTTACAATATGCCTAGAGCTTAAAAATACTTTATTCACAAGTTATCTGATTTCAAAATGTAAACAAAGGGCTGGGAGTGTAGTTCACTGTAGCTCAGTGGAAGAGCTCTTGCCTACTATGTGTGAGGCCCTAAGATCAATCCCTAGACTACAAAACAAATAGTAAATGCAATTTCATATTTCTACTGAAGTCACATTTGATGACATGTGTTCACAAAGAAAGGAAATATTTTCTATCAAAATACTACTTACTGTGCATTTTCCTGATATTGTTGGGTAACATAATCTTCTCTTTGCAAAATTTGTAAAAATCTGTTACGTGAAACATGCCATCTGGCCATGCACTTGTGCATATCTTGTGGCTTTACATTAAATGTTTCTGTAAAATGTAGAGAAGAATCTACATGGAAGACAATATAAGAAAACAGACTTATAAGCTAATAAATATGAAAAGTGTTCAATTTTTACCAGGTGCAGTGGTGTACATTTGTAGTCTCAGCATTCACAAGGTTGAGGAAGAAGGATCACATAAGCCTAGGAGTTCAAGGCCAGCTGGGCAACCCAGCAAAACCCCTTCTCAAAAAAATAAAAATTTAATTTTAAGAAATAAACATCATGTAACTAACAATTCCTTAAAAGCTATTATACCACACACATAATACATAAAAAGATAAAACTAAATGTTAATGAAACCAAGATAACCTTTTTTAAAACTAGTTTAACTAAAAAGGTTATCAAAAGCGAAGTTTTTTTAATATAATTATCTGGCAGAGATTCTCTGAACAAACACATTGTTATATATATGAGCTATTAGGCTTTTTAACAAGATCTTTTAACAGCAAAGAAAGGAAAGTTAACTAAAAGAGATAAGCTAAGGCTAGGGACGTAGGTCAGAGCAGAGTATTAACCTAACATACTCAAGGCCCAGAGTTTAATCCCCAGCATGGCAGAGAGAGAGAGAGAGAGAGAGAGAAAGAGAGAGAGAGATAAAAAGAGATGAGGAGCCAGGCACAGTGCCCCATGACTATAAAGCCAGCAACTCAGGAGGCTAAAGCAGGAGGATTGCATGTTCAAGACCAACCTCAGCAATTTAGCAAAGCCCTGAAGAGATTCTATGTCAAAATATAAGGGCTGGAGATATAATAGTTGGTAGAGTGCTTGCCTTGCATGCACAAGGCCCTGGGTTCAATCCCTAGCACCACAATAAAATAAAACAAAACAAAACAAAACAACAAAAAAGGGCCAAGCAGATGGCACATGCCTGTAATCCCAGCAATTCATGATGCTGAAGCAGGAGGATCACAAATTCAAAACTAGCCTCAGTAATTTAGCAAGGCCCTAAACAACTTAACAAGACCCTGTCTCACAATAAAATATAAAAAGGGCTGGGGATGTGGCTCAGTGTTGAAGCACCTCTGGGTTCAATCAGGGATATCAAAAGAAGGGGGGCGGGGGATGCTGGGGATGTGGTTCAGTGGTTAAGAAACCCTGGGTTCAAAAAAAAAGAAACCCTGGGTTCAATCTCTGGTACCCAAAATAGGAGATGAGGTATAACCAAGCTGGTGGCACACACACACATAATCCTAGCAATTTGGGAGTCTGAAGTAGCAAGATCACAAGTAGCCTCAGAAATTCAGTGAGACTGTCACTGTCAACAACATAAAAAAAAGTTACAGTGCAAACATTACACATATATCAGCGTATGTATTCAAATATGTATACATACATCATACTGGTAAATTAATCAAATCCATTCAAAACAGAAATTTCCAACACATTACTAGGAACAAAAATAAATCTCTAACTCATTCAACACTATGTATTAGAGATCAAAAATTATAACCTGCAAGCCTAATTTGGCCCACCTGCTATTTTTGACAGCCCAATAAGGTAAGAATGGTTTCTACATTTAAGGGTTGTAAAAACAAAACAAAGAGATATTCAACAGAGACTCTAGGTGGCTCATAATGTTTATTATCTGGCTTCTACGGAAAGCCAAACTCCTATATTAAAACATAATAACATATATAAAATAATGTAAATAGTAACCAAGATTCACTTTGAGATTTCAACATATAATTCCAGTAAAATATGAACTATTTGATTTTTGAGGTAAATTAATATTTTAACTTATCTTGCTTTATTAAAAACCTCTTGATTTTAAAACTGTGAAGAATAGTAACAATTTAAGAATCACACTAGGCACAATGGCACATGCCTGTAATCTCAGTGACTCAGGAAGCTGAGACAGGAGAATCCCAAGTTCAAGGATGGCCTCAACAACTTAACTTAGTGGTAAAGCACTCCTGGATTAAATTCCCAGTACCACAAAAAAAAAGAAAAAAAATTAAGAATCAAAACCAAACAAGCCAGGCACGGGGCATCCACCTGTAATCCTCACGCTCAGGAGGGTGAGGTAGAAGGATCTCGAGTTCAAAGCCAGCCTCAGCAACAGCGAGGTGCTTGGAAACTCAGTGAGACCCTGTCTCTAAATAAAATACAAAAGATAGGGTTGGGGATGTGGCTTAGTGTCGAGTGCCCCTGATTTCAATCCCTGGTATCAAAACAACAACAACAACAAAAAAAATCCTACTATAAGATTTACTTACTTTTAGAATTGGTTTTAATATATTTTAATGCAACAAATCTTGCAAAATGATACATCAGATGAATAAACTTAGGACCACCAGGAGACAAAAACAATGAACCAACAACTTGAGGAAAGCTATTTCCACATTCAGCCTATGAAGAAAAGAGACAAGATGAGTTGAAAACCTTATCAACAATAATTCTCATATTTATATCAAGTATTTTTTTTTAAAGAGTGACAATCTTGAAAATGGCTATATATGAGGAGCACTTTACTTTAAGGGAAAGCTCAATCATCAGTACTAATCATTAGCAACCCCTCCTCGTAGCATAAGGCTTGAATAAATCCAAGTCCATTGCAAAGTGGAAAATGGGCATAGAGGGCCAATCACCACCCCAACCCACTCCCTCCTCACATCATACTATTTTTGAAGCATAAAAAAATTTACCAGGATTATTCTGTTTGAACCACACATTGTTTGGTTTTTCTAAACTCTACATGTATTTGGTCAAAAAGATAATTATAATTAAATAAGCTCTAACCACTGATGTTATTTAAAGAAACATACTGAAATAATCTTGGCCAAAAAATATTTTACGTAGGGGCTGGGGTTGTAGCTCATGGTACAACACTTGCCTAGCACATGTGAGGCACTGGGTTCAATCCTCAGCACCACATAAAAAATAAATACATAAAATAAAAGTATTGTGTCCATCTACAACTAGAAACATTAAAAATATCTCTCTCTCTCTCTCTCTCTCTCTCTCTCTCTCTCCAGGCATAGTGATGCACACCTATAATCCTAGTGACTCAGGAGGCAGAGGCAGGAGGATCTTAAGTCCAAGGACAGCCATGGCAATTTATTAAGACCCTATCTCAAAATAGAAAATAAAAAGAACTGGAAGCCAGAAGTAGTCATGCACATGTGTAATCCCAGTGGCTTGGAAGGCTAAGGCTAGAGGATTGTGAGTTCAAAGGCAGCCTCAGCAACTTAGCAAGGCCCTAAGCAACTTCAAGAGACCCTGTCTCAAATAAAATATAAAAAGGGCTGGGAATGTGGCTCAGTGGTTAAACACCCATGGGTTCAATTTCCAGCCAAGAAAAAAAAAAGAACTGGGGACGAAACTCAGTAGTAGAATACTCAATACCAATGAAAAAGATTTACATCCAAAACGTTAATGCAGTTTTTTTAAATTTTTTTTAATACCTTCATTTTATTTATTTTTATGTGGTGCTAAGGATCGAACCCAGTGCCTCATAAGTGCAAGGCAAGCACTCTATCACTGAGCCACAACCTCAGCTCCAGATGTAGTTTTTAACAGCTTTTAATTTCTTAAAGTCTTCATCTTCCAAAAAGAGAATACTTACAGAAATCTTTTTTAACCACTCACAGCAGTGTTTCCGGAATTCACTGTCACTTTTTTGATCAAATGGAGGCCAGCAAAATCTTTAAAAATAATAATAGCATTACACTCATATACTCAAAAAAATCAAACTCAGCAAAATTTAAAATCACATCAAATTTATTTCCTATACTAAGAACATTAAAGCAAAACAGATTAAATGTAACATTCTTAGGGGCTGGGGTTGTGGCTCAGTGGTAGGGCACTCGCCTAGCACACATGAGGCACTGGGTTCCATCCTCAGCACCATATAAAAATGAAATAAAGATATTGTGTCCACCTACAACTAAAAAAAAAATATTTATTTTAAAAAATGTAAAGTTCTTACATTTCACCTAGATAGATACCAATCTAAGAAATTGGGTATTTTTATCTATAGGGTTGAGATTAGTGCAATTAAGGAATATATATATGAATAACTAATGAATAAATTTAATACATATACATACAAATAATTAAGAAGCAGGTATTTAAAAGTACTGAAAATAAAAGACAAAGCTCTCAATGGATTCACTTGACCAAGGCATAAAGATGGTATAAACTAGTATATTAAAGGGAGAAGATATTTTTTTTTTAAGAGAGAGAGAGAGAGAGAAAGAGAGAGAATTTTAATATTTATTTTTTAGTTTTCGACAGACACAACATCTTTGTTTGTATGTGGTGCTGAGGATCGAACCCGGGCCGCACACATGCCAGGCGAGCGTGTTACTGCTTGAGCCACATCCCCAGCCCAAAAGGGAGAAGATATTAAAGGAAAAAAATTTAATGTATCTACATGATGAGCGAAGGAGAAGGACTGCATGAGAGTATGATTGCTAGAGATTTATTTATTCTAATTTATTTGTGGTTTCTATGTAAAATGTTTGACAGCACAATATAAATATTAACACAATCTGAACATTATTTCAGACAGAAAAAACTCAAAATTACATACAAAATAACTTAGAACTTAGACTACTGGGTGTTTACATTTTTACAATCATCTTAAACTTAGCACAGGCTAAACTTAACAGCAATGATTTTTGCCTATAACAACTGACACTTTAGAACATATCACTGAACAAAATATTAAGGATTTACAGAGCACTGGAAAGTTAAAATAGACAAAATAAATAACACTGCCTATAGAAGTAGTAAGGCTTGGGGTAATTAACTTAAAAAATAGGACAAGCTGGGTGCAGCAGCACATGTGATTGGAGAGGCTGTGGCAGTAGGATCGTGAGTTCAAAGCCAGCCTCAGTAACTTAGCAAGGCCCTAAGCAATTCAGCAAGATCCTATCTCTAAATGAAATATTGAAAAGGGATGGGGATGTGGCTCAGTGGTTAAGAGCCCTGGGTTCAATCCTCTGTACCAAAAGGGGATGGGGGGCAAAATTAAATTTATAAACAGACTGGTATCAGTTAATTATTTTGCTAATTAAGACCATGAAGATTGTTAGGAACTAATTTTATGAAACAAAACCTATATTACCTATGAAATACATAATGATTTTAAGGTAAGTACCCAAAACAATCACCCATATATATAAAAGTTAAACATTGCCGTATGTGGCACACATGGCTGGTAGTCCCAGCAACTCAGGAGGCAAGGCAGGAGGATTGCAATTTCAAGGCCACCATTGGCAACATATAAAAATAAACATAAGGAATATGTTTGACAAATAAATCCAGGGTTCGGACATTACATTCATTTTGTATAATTTACTATTAACCTTTTACCTTCATTTATAAGTTTTAAGTGTCCAGAAAAGCGGGTATATTTGAAACACTTCTTTGAAATCCCTATCATTACGGTATAGGGCTTTGCCAAATAAAAATACATTTTCAAAAATTTTACCGATTAAAACCTTATGGCTTGTTTTAAGCATTTCAAGAAATACTAGAAAAGGTAAGGAAGTATATCTAATTCCTAAACCCACCAATCTGACAGTATCACTGTTGACATTTCATCCTTTGTCTTTTTCCCCTACGTATACTTAATTTTTCTATGAATATATTATATGTTATAAAAAATAAAAAAGGGCTGGGCATATAGCTCAAGTGGTAAAGCATCTCTAGGTTCAACCATCAGTACCACACACACACACACACACAAAGTTAAGCACTAAATTTCTAAGACTCAAACCTGAATTTTGCAATATCCATTCAAAACAATAGTTAATCTTCAACAAGTTAAAATTCTGGCTTACATCAAGAAAATAAAATGAAATAAATAATTTTTCCTTACTTAAAAACTTCTTTGGTGAGTGACTGGTCCAGCGTTTGAAACAAAAAATAAGAAACTATTTGAAAGGCATCTCGGTTCAGTTTATCAAACATATTCCTAGTGGTTTAAAATTAAAAAGAAGTAGGAAGAGAAAAAGGAAATGATTAATAAAACAGCATCAAAAGCTGTGTAAGAGTTTGACACAAGTTAATATTTTTTCATTCTCTTCAAGAGGTCAAGGCAAATTAATTTTTCAGTCATGTACATTTTATAACCGATTCAGAACATACAAATTTTTATTCCTGATTCTGAAAACACAAATCCAATAGAAGAAAACCGGCCTTGCTTTATTGCAGTGAAAACATTCTACAGAAAGGGAAGGAAAACCTTGATATGAAGACAATACCAACCAACAATCAATAAATAACATAAAAAATAGATAATTTTTTTTAATATTTCATTTTTCTCAGGCATTATTTTAAGCCTTTTACAGGTAGTAATTCATCTAATTTTCACTAGCACATAAGGTTAAGTCTTATGCTGTTAGCTTTAACATGCATTATTTTATTTAATCCTAATGGTAATAGATAGTAGTTTAACCTCATTACACAGTGGAGGAACTTAAATTTAGAGAAATTAATATACTTGTTCAAAACTAACCAGCCCAGCCAGGCGCAGTGGCACTTGCCTGTAATCCCAGTGGCTTGGGAGGCTGAGACAAGAGAATTGTGAGTCTAAAGACAGCCTCAGCAACCACAAGGTGCTAAGCAACTCAGTGAGACCCTGTCTCTGATATACGAAATAGGGCTGGGGATGTGGCTCAGTGGCCCCTGAATTCAATCCCCGGTACCAAAAAAAAAAAAAACATAATCAGCCCAGCGCAGCAGTGCACTCCTATAATTCCAGCAGCTTGGGGGGTTGAAGCAGAAGAATTGAGAGTTCAAAGCCAGCCTCAGCAACATAGCAAGGCCCTCAGCAACTTAGGGAGACCCTGTTTCTAAATAAAATTTATATATATATAAACAAACTGGGGACGTGGCTCAGTGGTTAAGCACACCTGGGCTCAATCCCAGGTACCAAATAAGGAAAAGAAAAAATAAATATGTGTGTGTGTGTGTGTGTGTGTGTGTGTAGGAAAGTACTGACTTGAATATGTCCATGACCCAAAACCCAAATCTAGGGTCTCTCTCTCTCTCTCTCTCTTTTTTTTTTTTTTTTTTTTGTGGTGTTGGGGATTGAACTCAGGGCCTTGTGCATGCCAGACTTATCCCCAGCTCCCCAAGTCCAGGGTTTTTACAACTAGATTTTATTCCCAGAACCATCCTTATGATATAATGCTAGCAAATCCACTAAGTTTTTATTGTTCCAGTTTCCCTAATTAATCAAAACAAAGCATAAAACACACACACACATATGAAAAAAAACAAAAACGAAAGACCCACTAAACCCATAAGAAATGTCACACAGCTATAAGAAATCAAGAGTTAATATAAAAGCTGAAGGTATAGTTCAGTGATAGAACTGTTGCTTAACATATAGAAGGCTCCAGGTTTTATCTACTACAACACCACCAAAAAAAAAAAAAAAGTTAACACGAAAAGCAAAGCATCAAATATATTTCCAAGGAATCAAATCAAGTAAATTTTTAACTTAGTATTACTATTTTCGTGCTTAACTTCCCATTCCTATCCATATGTCAAACTCTTTTGTCTCTAGAAGGTCTGTATTCCTCAAGCAATACAAATGAAGCTCCATCTATTCTACTTCCTTATCATCTCCGAAATCTGTTATTTTTCTCACAGAAGACACTGTTCTTGTCTGTGACACTTACCGTAATCTCTAATAAGACATTTATTGTAGATTTATTCACTCAACTAGACTTAAAATTTATTAAGAAAAGTTTACATCTATTCTCTTCACCACTGTACACCCAGGTCCAATATCATATCAAATTCAATAAATATCTGTTGATATTTATTTATGGTGGCTCATGCCTGTGATCTACTCTGGAGGCTGAGGCAGGAAGGTTGCAAGTTTAGGCCAGCCCTAACAACTTAGCAAGACACAGTCTCAATTTTTTTTTTTTTTTTTTTTTTAAGAGGGCTGAGAATGTAGATCAGTGTTAAAGCACTCAGCTAGCCTGCAGGGCTCCCTGGGTTTGATTCCCAAAAAAATAATGAATGAAAAAAATTAATTGAACCTGTTGAATGAACAAAAATTATCTCACTTCTTTCCATTCCCACTGCCACCTTAGTTCAGGCCTAGATAGGTAACTATGAAGCCCAACTTCTCTCTCTAACCCAGTCTCTGTAAAGCAACAAGCATGATCTTTTCAAAATGCAAATACTATGCAATGGAACTGCTGGGTCATATATTAATACCATGTTTAACTTTATAAGGAAATGGTTAAGCAACTATATGCTCACCCAACTAGAATCTTACAGAATTGCAAACCAAAAAGAATTTTGCCATATAAGCAAATAAAAAAATTAAAACATTTTTAAAGTAAATGTGATGCTACATTCATGTTTAAACTATTTTACAGGAGACATCTGTTACACAATGACAGATCCCCTCCAATAACAGACAAAAACAACTCTAATAACGTAGGGGAAAAAAACATCTGTGTTGAGAGGGAAAAATAAAAACTGCCATCACTGGACCAGAACCTGACATTTTTTAAATTTTTCAAAGGCAGAATGCAATTGCATTGATGGATAAACCAAAGAGAAAATTAAGACGGCCAAAACACTGGAAAGAAGGATAACAAAAGCCATTCTCAGTGATGGAACCCCTGAAGAAGCTTCAAGTGCCTCTGCCAGTTCAGAAAAAAATGAGACTGTGTTATAGGGCATCAAATCATATGAAATAAATGAAGTATTTATTAATAAAGACACTATCATAACCTGATAAATACTACCTATTAACAGTTTTTAGAATAGATTTCTATTCAAAGCCCTTCATTTATGTTAATAGCATTAACTTCTAACTTCTAAACAGTAACCAAACAAAACTTAATTACAGCTCTACACTTTGATAGCAAAAGTCAAAATACAACTGAAAAAAAAAAGTCAAGAAGGGGAAGGCAGAAAAGGAAGATGGAAAGATAAACGAACCAATTATTTTATAAATAACAGCTACATTCATTTTGAAATTACATAGTTGAGAATCATAGATTTTTGAGATTGATGAATCAAATCTAAGCACATTATTAAAACATGGCAACTAGATGAATTGAAATCATTTACAATTATCAAAAAGATTGTGAAGGGTAAGAGATGGCCAATGTGTCCCAAATTCTTGGCCTTCAGCGGGGAAGATAACAGATACTGTCTAAAATTACTAAGACAAAGACATAGAAACAAAGTATTTACTGTCATGGTCATAACCATAACAAAACTGGCAAAAGTAAAGGAAGGGAATTATATTGTTTATTTTAATGCCCATTTCTACTGTGTGGGGTTTTTGTTGTTGTTGTTCGTTTGTTTTTTTGCCAACTGTGGCATGCCTTAGCTTCCTAATTCAAAAAGCAAAAGTTACAAAGTTAACTACCGTCAAAGGCTCCCTTGAGTACTAGAGACCTTTGCATGCCCATTTCCCACACCTTTCCACTACCAATTCGCCCCTCCTCCCACCATTTCACAGACCATCCACCTCCACCATCCAGAGAGGGTTACCCCAACTTCAGACTACCTTTCTACAAAGCCACTGGTAGATAACTGATAGTGTCAGTCTCTGCCACCAGCCGGCAGAAATCGGAAGCGGGGGCTTGTTAGCCAGTGCCAGGCACATAGTAACCGCTCAACCGCCTCGGATTCATCGATCCGGGGGTTTGGGGAAAAGCGGGCCACCCATAAGTCTCCCGGCTCAGGCTCCCTCAGCCCCTTGGGTCCCCGCCTCCTTACACTCCGAGGTGTGTGTGCGACTCGATCTTTCCGCAGGCGATGGTAGCCGGGCCCGGCTCGAATCCGAGCGCCAGCAGATACATCCAGAGATGCTGCCTCTCAAAAGAAGCGCTCCAGGCAGAGCTCATCCTCACGGTAGTTACAGTGACTTCAAAGGAAGAAAAGGCCGGCTCAAGCGACTGTGAGGGCCCTCAATATCCCTCCCTACCCTCAGCCTGATGTAGTGAGGTCCCCTCCATTGCCACCGCCCGCTGCTTTCCAGCCCGGAGCCATTTCGTCTCAAATGGCCGAAAGGACTCTGAAAAAACGAGCGTCGAAAGACAGCGCGGCCACCGCGGCCTAAGTGAAGACACCACAAACTACGACTCCAGCGCTTCAGGAAGAGCGGAGTGCGCCGACTCCGCCTAACTTCCGGGGGAGGAGGGACTTCCTTGGAGAACTGTATCTCCCGCCGTGCAACGCGCCCTATTCCCGGCCTTTCCGTTCACTCCCAGCGGGAAACTACAAGGCCCACAATGCGTCGCGGGTAGGGACTGTCCCCGTGCCCGCGCCTTTCCAGTCCTTGATGTTTGGGATTCCTACTACTTGTGTATGATTATTAAATAGTCAGACAGAAAGGCACAGACGGAGTACTGCGGCTCGATGTAGTGAGAAAAGCACCAAGCGTTTGACCCTGAACAAGTCACCTAACTTCTAAGCCTCAGTTCTATCATTAGCAAAATCTTTACCATCAAATGCTAACTCTTCCCTTCACCTTCTTTCTGTAATTGAAATCTGACGCTCTCCTAAGCATACTGTATCCCCTGCAGCATTCTCAATGTTTAACTGTTCTCTTTGGTAAACCCCCTATAAAACAGGCCTGGAGCTGGGATGGCTTATCCTCCTTATTTCAAGTTGCCATCCCTGGCAATTATTGCCTCCTGCCTCACTAAAACCAGCTCCTCCGAAGTTTATTCTCTTCTTATAGAGGTCATCTACATGATCTTTGAATCACTGGACCTCAGCCTGAGATTTACAACTTAATTCCCTGTCTCACCAGCATTGTTAGTGAGAGATTTTGGTGATATCAGTATCCATGTAGGTGACCTTTTCAATACCCTAGCCTCTCAATTAATTAGCCTGCTTTCCAATAACTTTGTCTTCCATTCTATCAGGTCGGTGGCGATGACTTAGAACAAAGCAGCCCATAGGGAAAGAAACATCAATCATGTGCCAACAGAAACGTCTGCCAATCAGCAACATCTGCTGACTAATGCCTGTCAATCAGCAGAACTCCCTGGCCAATCCTGGAGTTCAACCAGCTCCCCTGACCAACTCCAGCTAGACAAGGGACCCTAAAAACACCTTTTCCTGTCCCAAGCCCTTCCCTTCCTGCCGTAAGTCCCAAAAAAGCCCAGTCCGGTCAAGCTCCCACTGGGTTTCTCCTCAGAGCCTTCTCCTGTCCACTCTGTCGGTCTGATGGAGCTCTACTGGGGAGTGAGTCTCAAATAAAGCCTCCTTCAGCGGCCTTTTTAAATCTGCCTCCTTTGGTCGCTGCCCGCCTTGCCTGATCTTACACATTCCACCCACTCTATTGGAATATAACTATAAAATCTGCCACTATCAACTACTGCAACACCTCCATAACTTCAATTTCAACCTCCATTTTCTAACTTTCCAGCTCAATCCCTCCAAATCTTATTCCAACAGTCCTCGGATCACTAGAATTTATAATCCTTTTGTCTCTACATTGTCTCTTACTCTGTTGATAACATTATAATCATTACCTTGAAGACATCATTAGCTCTCTGGCATCTTTCTCTGCCAGATTTATTTAGCAAAACCCAAACCCCTATTAAATCCAGCCCTCTATTTACTCTACACCTGCACTTAGCAGATAAACACTTATTTTGTCTGTTCTCACCCAAAATTTGTAACTCAAGTGAGCTCTTAAGCCTACCCACTGAACACTACTATTTTTCCCAAAGCTTACATGTACATATGCACTCGCACACACACATAATTATGAACTCACAAATTTAAACTTACTTAAGGAGTTCAATCTATTATATTTATTATCCATGTAGAGATTCAAATTGTCTTATATTTGGCCAACTGGAACCTCTTCAACTTGGTATTCAAGAAGTTTAGACTCATTTTGTACATTTCTTGCCTCAGACCTGGAATTAGTCATTTCTCCAAGAAAACCTGATTTCTTTTAGTGATAAATGATATTTTGTGACTATAAAGGCACTAGGGATGTTCATAGCTTCTGGGTTGGCCAATGCTTCTACCATTTACTTAAGTAACTAATATCTATTGCTGTTTTGTGCCAGGGATTGCTCCACACTTTTAAAAAATGTTAACTACGAAATCTCACCTTATAGATGAGAAAATTGAGGCACAGAAAACTGAAGTAACTTGCTCAGGTCACACAGTAAGTGGCACAGTAAGTTTAGAAACTGGAGTCTGAGCCTTTATCCATCATGCTTTACTTGTTCCCAGTTGACCTGCGTTTATTCACATGCCCATCCCTTAGTTAAGGGAAAGCAAAAACCCTTGACCAGCAGACTCATAGAGATACCAAAAGAAGCAGAAATGAAAATGAATCCTGAAAGATCCAAAAAACAAGTGTCCAGTTTAAAAAAAAAAAAAAACTGGGTAATTGTGTTCAATGGTGCATAACCTACAATCCCAGCAACTCAGGAGGTGGAGACAGAAACACAAGTTTGAGACCAGTCTCTGCAATTTAGTGAGACACTATCTTAAAATTAAAAAAAAAAAAAAATTTAAAGGCTGGGAAAGTAGCTCAGTGGTAGAGGGCCCTAGGGTTCAATTACCAGTACCAAAAGAAAAAAGAAGAAAAGAAGACATCCAAGCTTACACAGCTCAATTTTTATTATAGGCATTTCAGAAATTAAACTTTGAAGAGTTATATAAAATGATATATGACACATAACAAGATCTCAAAAGTTTAGGTCAAAGTTTTCTTGCAATTAAGATCAAGCAACCAAAAACTACATTAACACCCTTCAAAAACCACAGGAATAAACACACGAGCAAAGATGTATTTTACTGTGATACAAATTGCATATCCAGCCAAAAGGAATTTTTATTTTTTGGTTAATTATTCCCTGAGAGTTCAGGACCATTAGCGTGTGAATGATTTGCTCCATCCTCCTCTTCCAAAGCTATAATATCTGGAATTTCATCAGTCTCTGATGTCAAGTCTATGATAGTGAAATCAATCACCTGTAAAAGAAGAATCTTGGATATTAAAATGATCACTAATTAAGTGAACTGTTAGGTTCACATGAGGTCTTAGAAACATTATGGTTCTGGGTTGTTTTTTGGTTTGTTTTTTGTTTGTTTTCATAGGGGATTGAACCGAGGGTTGCTTTACCACTGAGCTACATCCCCAGTCCTCTTTTTTTATTTTTATTTTTATTTTTTTTTGAGACAAGTTCTCACTAAGTTGCTGAGAGTCTTGCTAAGTTGCTGAGGCTGGCTTTGAATTTGTGATGCTCCTGCCTTACCTCCCCAGTCACTGGGATTACACACATGCATCACCAGGCTGTCCTCAAACTCCTGGGCTTAAGTGCTCCTCCTGCTTCAGCCTCCCAAGTAGCTGGGAACACAGGCACACACCATCATGCACAACTCCTTAAGTTATTAAATATTCCATGGAGTTGAATTTTGATTCTTTCAAAGCTGTACTTTTAAAAAAGATGTTTGTCCACTCATATTATAAAAGCACTAAGAAAACTTTTCTTTAAAAGAAACTAGAGGTAAAATCTATTAGGTACTTTTTTGAAAATACCAGATATAAAGCATTCCTGGGGGCTGGGATGTAGCTCAGTGGCAAAGTATCTGCCTTGCATTCTCAAAGCCCCTGGTTCAACCCCCAGTTCCAAAAAAGACAAAAAAAAAAAAAAAAAACATTTCTGGTTACCTATTAATTTATTATTCCCTTCAAAATAATAGTATTGTACTTTTCTGTAATTTTGAATTAAAGTACAAAATCCTTTTGGAAATGCCTAGGAACTGCAAAAGCAAATAGTCTTTTTAAAAGTTTAAATAGCCATCACAAGAGGCTGGTAGCTCAGTGGCAAAATGCATGCTTAGTATACCCAAGGCCCTGAGTTCCATTCCCAGCAATGAAAGGGAAAAAAAAAAGAGAGGAAGGAAGAGAAGATTAGTAAAGTATAATATTACTATAGGTTGCAATCTTGATAGCACAGAGAGAAAAGTATCTGCCTAACAGAGGTAAAATCACTAAAAAAAATTATCTATCGTCAGACACGGTGGCACATGCCTGTGATCCCAGCAACTCTAGGGGCTAAGGCAAGAGGATCTGAAGTTGTAAGCCAGCCTCAACACCTTATCAAGGCCATAAGCAATTAAGCAAGATCCTGTCTCTAAATAAAATATTAAAAAGGAATGGGGAGGGCTGGGATTGTGGCTCACACTTGCCTAACACGTGTGAGGCATTGGGTTCAATCCTCAGCACCACATAAAAATAAATAAAATCAAGATATTGTGTTCAACTAAAAAAAAATTAAAAGTGGGGGGCTGGGGATGTGTCTCAGTGGTTAAGTACCCCTGGATTCAATCCCCAGAACCAAAAAAATAAATAAAAGACAAAAAAGGGATGGGGATGTGGTTCAGGTTAAGTACCACTGGGTTCAATCCCCAGTAACAGGAAAACAAAAAAAGTATCTCAAAAAATACACAAGAAAGGGGGATCATGAACTGAACGATTTCATACATGTATGAGTTTGTCAGGCTGAACCTAACTACTATGTATAACCATAAAACTCTAATAAAAAATAATTTAAAAAAAAAAGAACAGGGCACAGTGGTGCACACCTGTAATCCCAGCGGCTTGAGTTCAAAGCCAGACTCAGCAATTTAGCAAGCCCCTAAGCAACTTAGCAAAACTCTGTCTCAAAATAAAAAAGGGTTAATGGCTGGGGACTTAGCTCAGTTGATAGAGTACCTGCTTCTCATGCACAAGACCCTGGATTCAATCCCCAGCACCCCCCCCCCCAAAAAAAGGACTGGAGATTGCCTCCTCATTGAGCACTTCTGGGCTCAACACCTGGTATCAAAACAAACAAACCACACAGAAGAGAAGAAAGGGACTTAGAAACTAACATTTAAAGTTAATATTTAACTTTAACTTTATAGAATAAGAAGGTACAGAATTTATTCTTGAATGACATAAGATTCTGTAAATAAATAGTGATAATGTCTATACAAAATTGTGAATATACTTTTTTGTGTGGTGCTGGGAATTAAATCTAAGACCTTTTACATGCAGAATACTTAATGCCAGTGAATTGTACACTTAAAAATTCCTGAGATGGTAAATTTGATTTATGTAGATTTTACCATCACCACAACAAAATAAT